ACTTAAGAGAAAGGGAGGTGGTGGTAAGAGCAGAGGGGTGGGCTGGTGGAATCAGAGCCCCGGAGCTGGAAGGGTTCCTACAGCTCATCCTCAGCACTCATCTTACAGATGAGAAAACTGGGGCCCAGAGAGGGGCAGTAACTTGCTGAAAACATGCTGTTGGCCCTGCCAGCTTCACCCCTACCCTTTAGCATGGCAGCCCCCACATTCCCAGCTGTAGGGAGTGTTGGCAATGGACAGCGCACAGCTCAGCTCCTCACCAGGCTGAAGAGAGCCACCAGGCCCAGGGTGGTGCACCCATCCCAGCTGACAGCTCACTGCAGAAGCACAAAGCCCTAGTCCCTTTCCCACAATCTTGGACAACTCTGAAGGGACAAACCATGCTGGCCTCTAGAGCTCCCTGTGTGATCAGCTAAGGCCTTTGTTGTGGCTGCATCAAAGCTCAACTTCTTCCTCTACCCAGTCCTTTCTTCATACCCCACAGGGGTCAGGCCTGAGAGAGCTCTGCAAGAATCCTCCTGCCCACAAAGCTGGGTCTCACACCTGGTTTCCCTGGGAACATGGCCTATGACAACTTCCCAAGTTCACAAGTCAACTTAGTGGAGTCAGGACAACCCATGTCTTCTGACTCTCAACCTTTCTACCACACCTGGCTAACCTCCCACACTGATTCCTCTTAGGCTCTGTGTCAGTCCATCCGGGAACCTGAGACAAATGACCTTAGAGACTAGGGCAAAAGGTGCCAGGAGGAATCCCCTTGCTTCCCCAGGAGGACCCTGCATTGTCATGAGTACATGCATATGTCATACAGTTCTAGCTACCTAACCGCCAGGAGGAAATGTGAGGGCCTCTCTGGGTCCTCGAGGGCTCCTCCACTTGCCTGGAGCAGTGGTTAGGGGAACTCAGCCTGAACCAGGCTGAAATAAAAAAAGGTCATGTAGAAGGCTCAGGGCTTGAGACCCCAGGCCCTGCACCAGGGTAAGACTGGCCTTGAGGTTTAGAGCTCTGACCCACAGAGGCATGCTAGGAGTTTTCAGAGGGGCCCACCACTCCCTGCTGAAGCACTTCCCTGCTCCTCATTTTGCAGCAAGACCCAGGGTTTCACAACTGGCACCATGCTGTGCCCACTGATGGGACCTGTTCCCTGGAGTCCTTCCGCACACTGCGCCAGCTGCCGCCACAGCCCCGTTCAGTGGTGAAGTATGTGGAACCTCAGTTTTGGTCTTTTTATGGCCCTTGAAGCCGCAGTGATGGGATTTGTATGGATTCGTTTGCTACTTTTGTTTCTTGTTGTGTAGCAGCATCGAGGCCCGGAGGTCAAATCCTAGACTTCCAGCAGCCTCCTTGGCTCCTCAGGGTCACCCCTCTGCCTTGTGGAGCTGGAGAGAGATGAGAGGCAGCCTCTGACCCCATCTGCCAATCAGGACGCAAAATCTTGGGAAGACACAAAGCTTTAGTTTAAACACCAAATCCCCCAATTAGTAAACATACCAATACTTAGTGCAGTGTTTGCAGTGCCTAAAAGCAAGCAAGACAGATGGGCCACGCCACTTAGTAGAAGGCTGTCGAAGGGCATTTTTAGAAGTTTCAAGCCTTGAGTCAAATCAGAGTGAGGGTCAAACAAGGCTTTCAGAATACTGTGCTGTGCTGAGAGGAAGAAATGGCAGTGGGTTACTCTGCAAGGAGAATGACACATGTGCCATCCAGACATAGGGTCTGGGTAACACATCAGCAGAATGGACACTTGTTGTCTCTACTCATCTATTCTTCCCCTAGGGATGCTATGTTCTATTTACCACTTCCGTAACTGCACCTCAGGCCCTCTGGCTTCTGCCCCAACACTGCCACTCACTATGATAATTGACTTTTGGTGGCTATATGCAGCCATAGAATCTCTATCATTTCAGAGCTCTAGAGTCCGTATTGCCATAGTGAGCCCAGTTCTGACAGGGCCTCTCCACTGTCAGGCCTAACTACAGATGAGAGCCACCCTGAATTTCTCACGGGTGCTTGGGCCTGTTTCATCAGTTCATTCCTCTTCCTTGGCAAATGGTGTATCCCATGGCTTTCCATTCAGTTTTCCAGTATTGTTCAGTTTATCCACTCTGGTTTGCCCACTTCTGAATTTTTTTCATCCCCTCTCCCACTATTGCCATAGCAATGCTTGCATTCACCCTCACTTAGTGTGGAACATCACTTTTTCTGACCTTGTAAGGAGCCATCCTTATTCATTGAGAGTTTGTACCGTTTCTTGTGGGCCTTGCCAGTGTGTTAAATCCTGTGTTCCTGGAGACTCTTCCCACACTGATGAACTCTCCTTTATCTGACTTTATAGTCTGACTCCCTTCATCAAGCACTCTCAGAATCCAGCTTCTCATGAACTCTCCAGCTCCTGCCAATCCATGTTGTCTTGTTCTTCCAGCAACTTGGGGTGTAGTCATGTTCCTCCCTGTAAGTCCAGGGAGAGGAAATCCTGGGACAAAATACCTCTAAAAACCGAAATCAGTCAAAGGGAGAAATAAAGTTTAAAACACATTTATTGCTTTGTGACCTTGAGTGAGACAACCCTCTGTACCTCAGGCAATCCTTGAAGCACCTAACAGCTGAAGGCAGCTTGCCAATAGTTCTCTCAGAAGCTCAGCCAAAAAGTCCTCTATTGAAATAGGAGATGGGTTGGTACATCACAGTATCCATCACAGGTACCAACTCTTTACCCTAAAAATTATCAATTAAAAGTGACGAATCAAGCATTTATCCTGCCCTGTCTACAGAATTGTATTTCAGAGTAACCAGCCATGGTTGATAAGATTAAGTTTGATACCAAAGGCTCCAGTTAATAAATGAACAAGAAATGATGGCATTAGACCATCATTGTTTTGCACACCATCCCCAGTTTTTTTTTTCAGACAATGGACATCAATTAATGAAATCCTAAAGTAAAAGGATGATGGGCAACTGTATAGTGGAACATTCAGGCTGCTTCTGCCTGAACCCACTGCTCCTGCATCTGTACAGTACTACTTCCTGATGTGATGTAGTACGATGAATACAGCACTATCTATGAACATTCCTGTTTCAAAAACTTTGTAGTGGAATCTAATGAAGCCTTTAGCACCAATTTATGGCTTACAGTTAAGTTACACTCATTCCTCTCACAAGAGGAGCAAGCTAAGTGACTATGCAAAGAAGCAAACAGACAAATGAGAATGTAGGGCATTCAACAGTCTAAGTGACTTGGTTACACAACTTGATAGCATGAAGAAAAAAAAGAGGGTAGACTGTTTTAGATTAGGGTAGATTTAAGACACATAACTAAGTGCCATGTGTGTATCTTGTTTGGATCTAGATTTAAACAAACCAAATGTAAAAAGACATTTTTTAAGATAATTGAGGAAATGAGAATATGGACTGGGTATTAGAGGACATCAAAGAATTGTTATGAATTCTTTTTAGTGTGAAAGTGGCATTGTGGTTATGTTTTATAGAAAGTGTCCACGTTTTTAGAGGACACTGAAGTATATAGGGTAAAATGACATGATGTTTAAGATTTGTTCTGAAATACTTACAGAAATGGGAAAAAAAGAAAAAACATAAAGCAAGTACGGCAAAGCCTTGATAATTTCTGAATCTGAATAATAAATATATGGGGATTTGTTATATCATTCTCTCATATACTCTTATGTATTAAAAATATTTTTAAAACGATGCCAAAGAAAAAAAGGACAAATGCAAAGGACCCAGTGAGGGAAGATGATGTTCAAAGGATATAAACAGGCACTTACAGACGGGGAGGTACAAATGTACAATAAGCATGTGGGAAGATATTCTGCTTCACTGGTAGTTGGGAACATGCAAATTAAGACAATAAGAAGATAATTACTTTTTATTCAAAAGATTGGCAAGAAGTTAAGAGATCTGGACCATCTACTGCTATAAGCCTGACAAAATAGCTATCGTTGGGAGAGCAAATCACCCCCATCTTACAGTGTTTATGAAGAGTAAACCACATATGCTATTAGGACACAGCAATATTCTGTAGAAATTATAGTACCAGAAATTAATGATCTGTAAAAAAGGATGTCTGAGGCAGCATTCTTTATATTGTCAAAAAAAATTGAAAACAACCTGAGTTACCAGAGAGGAGAGGTTAAAGAAATTGTGGTTCATCCATACCAGGACTATATGTCTTTTTAAATTAAAAGTATCTTTTTCTATAATCAAGCAGTGTTATGTTTAATAGTACAAAAACTAGAAAATACCAACAGGAAAATAAAAATTCAGAATTTCAGACCTGGAGATACCATCTTGAGATATATCAAATGTTTTTCATTGTGTACACGTGCATATGTATGTATGTATGTATATGCATATATATGCTTATTTTTCCAATAAGAGGTATCAAGTTACACTATATGTCCTAACCTCTTGTTCACTTAGTTCCCTCATGAATATTTTCCACATCAATAAATATCCCTCTACACACATGGCCTTAAAGAACTGCTTAGTATTCCATTAATAGATACTCCATAATTTAACCAATCCCCCATTTTGTGGTATTTAAGTGGATTCTAATTTCTCCTTTTATAAACGGTCTCCCTGCGCACCCTTACAAATCTTTGAAGATTATTTGCCAATTGCCTTCTAAAAGTTTTGGGTGCTTCTGGAGGCACTTGAGCCAGAGTAGTCCGAATGCTTTCCCATCACGCGAGCCCTCTATCTTCCCAGATAGCAAAACTGCAGTCTTTCGAATTTGTAGGACTTGTCTTAACCTGCCCGTTAGTCATGCGGCCAAAGTGGGACTCGGTTCCAGATATCCCTACACCCTCTCTCTGCTCTCTCCTCATTCCCGCCCCTCCCCTCGCCCCCGCCCCCGCCCCCTGCGCTTTCCCGCTCGGCCGCCTGGCCTATGGCAAACTCCAATAATTAATTAGGGGCGGGGATCAAGGAACGTCTATAAGAAGGCCGCCATTTTCCCTTCGGCTTTGAGACCGCCCTTGCAGTCGGTGGGTCTGGAGAGGTGCTGACAGGGTTGGGCCGCCGCTCGGCTCTCCCAGCCTCACCCCTCCCCCTCGCCCGGCACAGGTGGCTGGAGCGCGCCCCGCCCCCGCCAGCCACGGGTGGAGCGTGCGAGGGCGGATCCCAGACGGTCGCCGCCTGCTGCGAGCGGGCGCGAGCGAAGGCTGGTTCTGGACGGCCGGGCGAGAAGTCCGGCGGTAGCGGTAGCGTATCGTGGCGGCCAAAAAAATGCTTCTGAACCGAGGGCCCCCTGTAGGCCCTGGCGTGCCGGGCAGCGGGCTGCCCCAGCCGGGCGGGGTCCCTCAAGGCTTTGGGATCCGCCTGAGCACGGTAGGTCGGGGGCCGGAGGGGGCGGGCGCGCGCGCGGGTCCCGTGGCTGCGGGGGGCGCGTGGGGAAGGCCCGGCGAGCCGAGGCCTCACGTGGAACGGGACTTTCTCTCGCCCCCAGATGAGCCCCCGCTATCTACAGAGCAACTCCAACAGCCACACGCGACCCTTTGGTGCCATCGCGGAGCTGCTAGGTGAGTGGCGTGGGCGGGCCTGGCCGCTATCGCCCGAGTCAGTGGTGGTTCCAACGTGGTGCCGCGGACGCGAAAGGAATGTGCGGAGCCGAGCGGGGCGGGCGGGCTCTGAGGTGGGGGCGTCGGGACCGGCCCCGGCTCCGCATGCGGAGCAGGGGATCGGCGCTCTAGCCGGGGAGGAGGTTCCGCGAATAAAGTTGAGGAAACAAGGTGTGTCCAAAGAGTTAGAATTCCCGTGTGGTTTTTCTCTCTGGCTCCTGATGTTCCGGGCACTTTAGGATAGCTTAATAATCAAAGGGAGCTGCATAAAAATATCGGGCCCCAAGGCTGTTAGGCTCCGCAGGGACTGGCGAACCTACTACGGCGTCATGCTAGCAAAGGGGCATTGTAGAGGACCAGGCAGGGTCAGGAGGAAAGGTCTGTAAAACGGAGTTCTTTAACTTTTGAGACCGGAGTCTGGGAATGATGGAACAATCTCTTAAGAGATGACACGAGTGCATTTGGCTCCCTGTGACTCTGGAGGGTTGGGTCTGTCGTCCACGAGCGCCCTCACACCGCTGGAATGAATACTGAGCACTTAACCTCTCGCTCCACCAATGTTTTGCTTTTAAAGCATTTTCAGTTGATCCCTTGAAGCCAACTACCCCCAGCTTTTGCAGTAGTGTGCTAAATACTGTGTGGAAAGCAAAGAAAAACATTCCTAGACAAAAATGAAGCAGCATACAGAGCACATGATAAATGTTTCAAAAATGGAAAGAAGGGAGAGATGAGTAGGGAGCAAGGTAGCACTAAACATCTTGCAAATGGTATCAGAGCTCCCCAAATGAGCTCCAGTCCCTACTTAAGTAATTGCCATCCATGCAGTATGAGCTGTCTTGAACAAGAAATCAGTGGCAGCAGGATGAGGTGGTCAGGAGTTATTTGGAAGGGTGACAGGAAACTTTCATGATTAGTTTGACTATAACACAGAATGCCCACAATATGTATGACTGTTCATTAGAAGGTGCAGGGAAAAATTGACATTGACACATTCTGAATCCTAGAGAACAGGTACTACCTCTTTAAGGTTTTGTAGTATGCCTTGAGTGAAACTCTGTGCAGTGGAATAAGGTGTATCTGCATGTAACTTAAATGAAGAAGGGAGGGAAAAGTGACAATTTACTTAGTGGAAAATGGGAGACAATATGTTGTTCCTTCACAGTGGCACTGTGCAAAACAACTTTACTGGTGATCTGAAGAGTGTTCCATTTGTTATTTTGAATATATATGATTTTTGTCTTAAGCATTAATTTAAAGAACTAAAGTCTGGCCTAAGGTGTCCCATATGTGTACAAGTGTGTATGTGTATTGCATGTACACACGTGCCTGCACACATACATACAGAGACACAGATTTTAAAACCAAATCACAGCTATTTATGGACATACTCATAATAGGGAAAGGGAGAGCAGACTGTTAACTCATAACCCAAGGCTTTCATTTTAGGTTTTCTCTTAACAGTTTTCTCCTCCACTTAGGCATTCATTTTCTAGTGAATCATTCATTTGATAAATATTTATTGAGTACTCACTGTGGGAAAGACCACGTGGTAGGTACAAAACTGAATACAACATGGATTTAGTCTTCTAGTGGGGGAGATAAAACTTGTACAGAAGGTTTCCGCTTTATGTACCAGCAAGATAGAAAGTGATACATCAGCAAAGATACACTGAGTGCTGTGGGAGTTCAGAGGAAGGAGGGATGATTTCCAGCTTACCAGGAAGAGGAGGGTTAGGAAAAGCTTTGTAGAGTAGGTGATATTTGAGCTGAGATTTGAAGGATTGGGACATGTGGATATTGGTGTGGGGAGGGGAGGGCATTCCAGGCAAAAGGAACAACTGCATGAACAAAGGCATGAAGAATACTGAGTAGCTGAGTTTAATTAGATCCTGGAGTTCCCAGATAGTTCTTAGAGAGCTTACAAAGAGCTTTCACAAATACATTTTTAACTTTACCCTTTGAGGTAGTTGGTATTATTCTTCTCATCCTGCAGATAAGGATACAGAGGCTCAGAGAATTTAATGGACTTTTCCAAGGTTACATGTCTAGTAAGTAGTAGATCCAGGACTCAAACACACGTCTTTTTACTCCGAATACTAAGTAGGTAATGAAGTTAGGCAGACAGGAACGAGGATGTGACTGTGTTCAGGTATTTGTCCTTTTAGTCTGGAGTTTTCTGAGCAGAGGAATGTCATGGTCAGAGCTGCACTTCAGGAAAGGTGATCTCGCAGCAGTGTATAGGATGGATTGGAGAAGAGAGAAACATGGCTTTGAAGGACAGGAGGTTATCTGAATAATCCAGATGAGAGGGCATAAACTCTGTAAACTAATAAAGTGACAGTGGGAATAGAAATGACAAAATGTAAGACAGTATAGGGTAAGAGTGAGGGATAAAAAATGACTTTCAAATTTAAAACTTGTGGTCATTTGAATGCCAGCATTATGTGAATTGAATGCTGACTACACACACACACATGCACATACACAGTTGATCCTTGAACAGTGAGGAGGCTAGGGGTGTCTACCTCCCATGCAGTTGAAAATCCTCATGAAACTTTTTGACTCCCCCCAAATTTAGCCACTAATAGCCTTTTGTTGACTGGAAGCCTTACTAATAACATAAACAGTCAGTTAACACATATTTTGTATGTCATATGGATTACATACTGTATTCTTAAAACAAAGTAAGCTAGAGAAAGGAAAATGTTTTTTTCAAATTGTTGCATATCTCCAAAAATTTGTCCAATATATTTATTGAAAGAACATCAATGTATAATTGGTCCTGGACAGTTCAGACTTCTGTTATTAAGGGTTAATTGTGTGTGTGTTTGTGTGTGTGTGTGTGTGTGTGTGTGTGTGTGTGTGTGTGTGTGTATTTTATATTTATTCAGAAGAAGAAGGATGGGCTTGTGTTGGAGAGGATGACGTCCTTGATTTTACATGAATACTCTTCAATACTTGGAGGATGCCTGTAGGGCAGCCGCTTGGCTCTTGCCACCGGGCAGTAACCCACGTTAGCCATACTCGTGGAAGAGGGGAGGCTGGGAGGCTTGTGAAGCGCTACCTTAAAGCCATCTTCCACTCAGCATCCTGTCTTCCCTGGGGAGGGGGTTGTCATGGGACAGTTTCTGATCGCCTCCCAGGTTCTGATGAGATATGAATCTTCAGTTGCAGTGCTTTTTTTAGAAGACCAGAGGGGGTGGGCCAGGTTAAGGGGATAAGATAGATTCCCTGGGATATGGTTTCTCATGCCCTTGCCTAAGTGGCAGGTGAGGATGGGGTAGAGATAGTGTCCTCCCACTAAGGGTAGTAGTGACCAGGGGAGGAGAGAGAAGTCTCTGTGGGATCTGGTAGCACAAGACATCCCAGGCATGTAATGCAGCTCTCGCCTAAGTGGATGACAAGGGGAGAGGAGTGGGGGTTCTCTCACTGTCCTACCTGTTCATAGGCTGGGTGGACTGGGCCCCAGAAAATAGATTCCCCTGGAATCTGACAGCATATGCTATATGTTGACATATTTTTCAAGGCTTAAGCAGCAAGAGGTAGGATTGAAACTAGCCACCAGATTGATGCTGTATATTTATAAGTTCATTTGTTGAGGTTGACCTTGTTATAATTTCATTTGTTGAGTGAAAGTCCACTTAAAACAAAGTGGGTGCAAAGCTGTGCTTACTGCAGCCTGCTTATCTGCTGATGTCTTGTTCTCTGCTGCTGCAGCTAGCTACTCTTGGTTTCCTGCACGTCCCCGACCCCCTGTACTCCACCAGCTTCCAGCCAAGGAGATAAAAATGTCTAGCTGCTCCTGGCAGCTACCTTGTAACTCCTGAAGTGCCTGTATTAAAACTCTTTGTTGTGCTCGTGTAAAAAAACACCCAGGAAAGTTTGGGCAAAATTTGCAGTACAGAGGAAAAAAGTAATTAGGAGTGATTCTGTGAAAGGACTATGAGCGGGATTCATTGAATGCATTGCTGCATAAATGCAGAATTGGAATTGATATATATGTGTTATGTATTTGAATTGTGAATGTTCATAAAACATTAGACAAAAATTTTTTTATGTCCAAACTTTTCAAAGTGGAAATGATGTCTTGTTGGTTGATAAGTTAAAGATATCAGTCTCAGCACCTCTGGCTTTTTGCCATGATAGGCCCCAAAACAATTCAGGGCCTGCTTGCCAAGTAGTTCCTTGAAACAACATAGGTAGCTTCACAGTGTTGAGACTTTCTGTCAAAGAAAAAAACTGCCTCTTACACAAAGTAAAATACTATGTTTATTGTTACTATAAAGTAAAATGCTCTATTTATTATTACAAAGCCTCTATCGCATGTCAAGCCTAAAATTCCCACCAAAAGTGGGCTCACATGATTTACCACATAACACAGGGCTTTGGCTACACCTAGTCCTTCAAGACTGACTGTCTCAGACCCCTTAACTTCCTTCTGGGGCTGTTAGCAATACCTTCCTGCTGTTAAGACTTTTTGGATTACAATCAGTTTTTATCAGTGCCGTCATGGCCCTTGAAATTAATCTGTGTCTTGTTTTATTTGATGGACATTCTACACATCCAAGTGGTTGTAAATGATACTGTTAATTATACTGTAAAAGTTGCTATTTTGGATATGTGTAGTAATTCTCTTGCTCATAAGGGATGCTTCCAGTGGAGAAATGACAGGATTTGAACAGTACTAGTGGGACAGGTATATAGAACTGGGACCCCATCAGGATCTCTCAGCCAGCCACATGGTCTTAGAGCAGTACAGGATGCTAGGGAAAGGGAAGGAGGTGGAAGGGAAGGTCTCTGTCTTGACTGAAGAGCTAGTAGAGACAGGAGTCTTAAAGAAGCTATCCAACAGATTGCACAAACTACCCTCCCACTGGGGCTGGTGAGCCTAAATGAGACTTCTGCACCACATGTGTCAATAAACTGGCGCCTGTGACCAAATCATGTGGCTGGCCACTAGACAATAGCACACCCTGGGGTGGATATGACGCATATATCAGAATATCTGATGTCTTTGGAGTCTTAAATAATTAACACGAAGACCTAACTCAGGAGGAGTTGTCAAACTTCCTATATACATTTTTTGTCTACTTTAATTCTCTGTTCTCTGTTTAATGAGGGTTGGACAGCTTCACCTTTGACTATTACAGAGTACCTAAGCAGAATCACTGCTTCTCTCTAAGCATGCTGTTGCCATCCCTGGGATCTAGGCAGGCAATTAAATGTTTTGATTTTAATTTCTAACTCTTCCAGTGCTTCTCAGGCTACAACAGGGGTGGTGATAGTATCTGTGTTCTTTAACAAAGGAGGTGATGTAAAACAGTATAAAACAGTTTTCACAAATGAATTGTAACTGTGTAATATGCATCTATGTGTACCAAAATTGCCAATTCAACTCTTCTCCATAGCCACCCTATACTGTATGCGTTCATGAGCAGTAAAGTAGGTAAAAGACAAGAATAAGATAAAAATGGAACAGAATCCTCTGTATATAGGAGGAGTTATTTTTCCTGCAGACCCCGAAATTTGAAGGGAGGAAGGCAGATTACAGATCAGTCATTATATGAAATCTACAAAATCAGCTTCATAAGCCCATCTGCCATCATATCTGTTGTTCTCTGTAACCTAGTAAGTGCATAACTATTAATGCTCCCTGCTTACCTTCTGGGACACCCACGTGAAGGGAATAAAGAACAGTTTTATGTCTTAGGGGCACTGAACTAGAGATTTTAATCAAATATTAGGAAATGAGGTCTAATATCACAGATTTCTACTTTTTGCAGATAATGCTGTAGATCCAGATGTTTCTGCCAGGACAGTCTTTATAGATGTTGAGAAGATCAATAATAAATCTTGTTTGACCTTTACTGATGACGGATGTGGGATGACACCTCTTAAACTACACCGAATGCTCAGGTAAAAAGGCCTTTTTTCTTTTTCTCTTGTTGAGTTCATGAACTCTATTTAAGGCTTAATACTTTCTTTAATATTTTACTTTCCTTTTATTCATTCAACAAATATTCATTGGGCATCTATTATGTGCCAGGGCACTGGTTATGAGATAGACACTGTTCTTGCCCTCACAGTATATACAGTCTAGCTGGCAGAATCATATTCTAGCTGGCAGTTCAGATCATAATTAAGCATAATCATAATAAAAAGTGGTAAGTAGATATAATGATAGGAAAGTATAGGATGCAATGGGATAAGTCAGCAGGGGAACTCAATCTAAGCCAGTAGGTCAGGAAGAACCTCTTAGATGAAGTGGTATTTAAGCTGAGATCTAAGGGTGAGTAGTAGAATTTAACAAGGTAAAGGAGTAGGGGTCAAGGGATGAGTTCAAGCAAAGAGAAGAGCAAGTGTAAAAGCCTCCAGGTCTCACTGGTCACCTTCTGTGATTTATATTAACCTAAACCCAATCTTAGATAAGAAATATTAGAGCTGGGACGATTTGTGGGTGAAATCACGTGCCATCAAAGAGAAATAGAAGTCATTTATACACATAATCTTCGAAGGTTTTGGCATATAATTGCAAAGTTAGGAAATTCTCTTTTCTAACTGCTGAAGCCTAGTGTTAGAGATTTCTGTTGCCATGCTCAGTTCATATAATTACTTTAAAAGGTTGGTAGTTGAGACTGTTAAGTTTGTACTTAATTATCTTCACATATCACTCAGTGAAGGATGAGTTTCCTCAACTCCTTCCATCTTCCATTTTTAGCAGATGAGGCTGATTATTCTCCATGTGGCTTCCTGAACTAGTGTGTGCAGCATAAGTAACAGTGGAGGGGTACAGTGGTGGAGGGAAAGGGTTCTGAACTATAAAAGTGGAAAACATCCATTTGGTTGTAGTTCTCCGAAGGTATTCTAATTCTCTAACCCCATTTGTAAGGAAATCCCTTTGTCAGTCAAAGAAAATAAATGAAATTTGGGCACAGCCAATTATAAATGTGTGTTTTTTTATCTTTTCACTGTTTTGATAGTTTCAAGTAGCAAAATGTTTCTGTTTTTGTTTTTGGTATCATTAATGTACAATTACTTACACAACATTATAGTTACTAGACTCCCCCTATTATCAAGTCCCTCCCAAATACCCCATTACAGTCACTGCCCATCAGTGTACTAAGATGCTATAGAATCATGACTTGTCTTCTCTGTATATACTGCCTTTCCTGTGTCCCCCAACTCCCCGCTGCATTATGTGTGCTAAATGTAATGCCCCTATTTCCCCCTTATCCCTCCCTTCCCACTCACTATCCCCAGTCCCTTTCCCTTTGGTAACTGTTAGTCCGTTCTTCGGTTCTCTGAGTCTGCTACTGTTTTATTCCTTCAGTTTTTGCTTTGTTGTTTATACTCCACAGATGAGTGAAATAGTCTTTCACCACTTGGCTTATTTCACTGAGCATAATACCCTCTAGCTCCATCTAGGTTGTTGCAAATGGTAGTATTTGTTTCCTTCTTATGGCTGAATAATATTCCATTGTGTATGTGTACCACATCTTTCTTTATCCATTCATCTACTGATGGACACTTAGGTTGCTTCCATTTCTTGGCTACTGTAAATAGTGCTGCAATAAACATAGGGGTGCATATGTCTTTTTCAAACTGGGCTGCTGCATTCTTAGGGTAAATTCCTAGGAGTGGAATTCCTGGGTCAAATGGTATTTCTATTTTTAGTTTTTTAGGAACCACCATACTGCTTTCCACAATGGTTTAACTAATTTACATTCCCACCAGCAGTGTAGGAAGGTTCCCCTTTCTCCACATCCTCGCCAACATTTGTTGTTGTTTGTCTTTAGGATGTTGGCCATCCTACCTGGTGTGAGGTGATATCTCATTGTGGTTTTAATTTGCATTTCTCTGATGATTAGCGATGTGGAGCATCTTTTCATGTGCCTGTTGGCCATCTGAATTTCTTCCTTGGAGAAGTGTCTGTTCAGTTCCTCTGCCCATTTTTTAGCTGCCTTATTTGCTTTTTGTTTGTTGAGGTGTGTGAGCTCTTTATATATTTTGGATGTCAACCCCTTATCAGATATGTCATTTATGAATATATTGTCCCATACTGTAGGATGTCTATTTGTTCTACTGATGGCATCCTTTGCTGTACAGAAGCTTTTTAGTTTAATATAGTCCCACTTGTTCATTTTTGCTTTTGTTTCCTTTGCCCGGGGAGATATGTTCATGAAGAAGTCGCTCATGTTTATGTCCAAGAGATTTTTGCCTGTGTTTTTTTCTAAGAGTTTTAAGGTTTCATGACTTACATTCAGGTCTTTGATCCATTTGGAGTTTACTTTTGTATATGGGGTTAGACAATAATCCAGTTGCATTCTCTTACATGTAGCTGTCCAGTTTTGCCAACACTTACTGCTGAAGAGCCTGTCATTTCCCCATTGTATATCCATGGCTCCTTTATCGTATATTAATTGACCATATATGCTTGTGTTTATATCTGGGCTCTCTAGTCTGTTCCATTGGTCTATGGGTCTCTTCTTATGCCAGTACCAAATTGTCTTCATTACTGTGGTATTGTAGTAGAGCGTGAAGTCAGGGAGCGTAATTCCCCATTTTATTCTTCCTTCTCTGGATTGCTTTGGCTATTTGGAGTCTCTTGTGGTTCCATATGAATTTTAGAACTGTTTGTTCTAGTTCATTGAAGAATACTGTAGGTATTTTGATAGGGATTGCATTGAATCTGTAGATTGCTTTAGGCAGGATGACCATTTTGACAATATTAATTCTTCCTATCGATGAGCATGGGATGTGTTTCCATTTATTGGTATCTTCTTTAATTTCTCTCTTGAGGGTCTTGTAGTTTTCAGAATAAAAGTCTTTCACTTCCTTGGTTAGGTTTATTCCTAGGTATTTTATTATTTTGGATGCAATTGTGAATGGAATTGTTTTCCTGATTTCTCTTTCTGCTAGTTCATTGTTAGTGTATAGGAATGCAACAGATTTCTGTGTATTAATTTTGTATCCCAGAACTTCGCTGAATTCAGATATTAGATCTAGTAGTTTTGGAGTAGATTCTTTAGGGTTTTTTGTGTACGATATCATGTCATCTGCAAACAGGGACAATTTGACTTCTTCCTTGCCAATCTGGATGCTTTTATTTCTTTGTTTTGTCTGATTGCCGTGGCTAGGACCTCCAGAACTATGTTGAATAACATTGGGGAGAGTTGGGCATCCTTGTCTTGTTCCCTATCTTAAAGGAAGAGCTTTCAGCTTCTCACTGTTAAGTATAATTTTGGCTGTGGGTTTGTCATATATGGCCTTTATTATGTTGAGGTACTTGCCCTCTGTACCCATTTTGTTGGGTGTTTTTATGATGAATGGATGTTGAATTTTGTCGAATGCTTTGTGAGCATCTATGGAGAGGATATGTGGTTTTTGTCCTTTTTGTTGATGTAGAGGATGATGTTAATGGATTTTCAAATGTTGTATCATCCTTGCATCCCTGGGATGAATCCCAGTTGATCATGATGGATGATCTTTTTGATGTATTTTTGAATTTGGTTTGCTAATATTTTCTTGAGTATTTTTGCATCTGTGTTCATCAGGGATATTTATTGGTCTATAATTTTCTTTTTTTGTGGTGTCTTTGCTTGGTTTTGGTATTAAAGTGATATTGGCCTCATAGAATGAGTTTGGAAGTATTCCCTCCTCTTCTACTTCTTGGAAAACTTTAAGGAGGATGGGTGTTAGGTCTTCACTAAATGTGTGATAAAATTCAGCAGTGAAACCATCTGGTGCAGAGGTTTTGTTCTTAGGTAGTTTTTTGATTACCAGTTCAATTTCTTTGTTGATAATTTGTCTATTCAGATTTTCTGTTTCTTCCTGGGTCAGCCTTGGAAGGTTGTATTTTTCTAGAAAGTTGTCCATTTCTTCTAGGTTATCCAGTTGGGTACCATTTAATTTTTCATGGTAGTCTCTCATAATTCTTTGTATTTCTGTGGTGTCCATAGTGATTTTTCCTTTCTCATTTCTGATTCTGTTTATGTGAGTAGACTCTTTTTTTTTTCTTGGTAAGTCAGGCTAGGGGTTTATCTATTTTGTTTATTTTCTCGAAGAACCAGTTCCTGCTTTCATTGATTCTTTCTGTTGTTTTATTCTTCTCAATTTTATTCATTTCTGCTCTAATGTTTATTATGTCCCTCCTTCTACTGACTTTGGGCCTCATTTGTTCTTCCTTTTCTAGTTTCATTAACTGTGAGTTTAGACTGTTCATTGGGAATTGTTTTTCTTTCTTGAGGTAGGCCTGTACTGGAATATATTTCCCTCTTAGCACAGCCTTTGCTGCATCCCACAAATTTTGTGGTGGTGAATTATTGTTGTTATTTGTCTCCAATATTGCTGATCTGTTTTTATTTGGTAATTGATCCATTGATTATTTAGGAACATGTTATTAAGCCTCCATGTGTTTGTGGGCTTTTTCGTTTTCTTTGTGTAATTTATTTCTAGTTTCATACCTTTGTGATCTGAGAAGCTGGTTGGTTCAATTTCAATCTTTTTGAATTTACTGAGGTTCTTTTTGTGGCCTAGTATATGATCTATTCTTGAAAATATTCCATGTGCACTTGAGAAGAATGTGTATCCTTTTGCTTTTGGATGGAGTGTTCTGTAGATGTCCGTTAGGTCCATCTGTTCTAATAGGTTGTTCAGTGCCTTGGTCTCTTTACATATTTTCTGTCTGGTGGATCTGTCCTTTGGAGTGAGTGGTGTGTTGAAGTCTCCTAAAATGAATGCATTGCATTCTGTTTCCCCCTTTAATTCTTTTAGTATTTGTTTCACATATGGAGGTACATAGATATTTATAATAGTTATATCCTCTTGTTGGACTGACCCCTTTATCATTATGTAATGTTCTTCTTTGTCTCTTGTTACTTTCTTGGTTTTGAAGTCTATTTTGTCTGATACAAGTACTGCAACTCCTGCTTTTTTCTCCCTATTAGTTGCATGAAATATGTTTTTCCATCTTTTTACTTTCAGTCTGTGTATGTCTTTGGGTTTGAAGTGAGTCCCTTGTGGGCAGCATATTGATAGGTCTTATTTTTTTATCCGTTCAGTGACTCTATGTCTTTTGATTGGTGCATTGAGACCATTTACATTTAGGGTGATTATCGATAGGTATGTGCTTATTGCCCTTGCAGGCTTTAGATTTGTGGTTACCAAAGGTTCAAGGGTAATTCCCTTACTATCTAACAGTCTAATTTAACTCACTTTGTATGCTATTACAAATACAACCTAAAGTTTCTTCTTTTTTTGACTCCTTTTTCTTTTTCTTCCTCTTCCATTCTATGAATGTTATGAATCATATTCTGTACTCTTAGTCTATCCCTTGGGTGACATCTGTTTATCCTTAGAAATACTGCCATCTATAGGGGTCACTCCAAAATGCACTGTAGAGATGGTTTGTGGGAGGTAAATTCTCTCAGCTTTTGCTTATCTGAAAATTGTTTAATCCCTCCTTCAAATTTAAATGATAACCTTGTCAGGTAGAGTGTTCTTGGTTGAAGACCCTTCTGCTTCATTGCATTAAATATATCATGCCACTCCCTTCTCGCCTGTATAGTTTCTGTTGAGAAGTCTGATGATAGCCTGATGGGTTTTCCTTTGTATGTGATCTTTTTTCTCTCTCTGGTTGCCTTTAATACTCTGTCTTTATCCTTGATCTTTGCCATTTTAATTATTATATGTCTTGATGTTGTCTTCCTTGGGTCCCTGTGTTGGGAGATCTGTGCACCTCCATGGCTTGAGAGACTATCTCCTTCCCCAGATTGGATAAGTTTTCAGCAATTACCTCCTCAATAACACTTTCTATCCCTTTTTCTCTCTCTCTTCCTCTTCTGGTACCCCTATAATGCGAATATTGTTCCATTTGAATTAGTCACACAGTTCTCTCAATATTCTTTCATTCTTAGAGATTCGTTTTTCTCTCTGTGACTCAGCTTCTTTGTATTCCTCTTCTCTAATTTCTGTTCCATTTACTGTCTCCTCTACTACATCTAATCTGCTTTTAAATCCCTCCATTGTATGTTTCATTGAATTTCTTAATGATTGAGTCTCCGACTTAAATTCATTCCTGAGTTCTGGAATATTTTTTTGTACCTCCATAAGCATGTTTATGATTTTTATTTTGAACTCTCTTTCAGGAAGATTGGTTAGTTCGGTTTCATTTGGTACTTTTTCTGGGGTTTGTGAGATTTTGGTATGAATCAGATCCTTTTGATGTTTCATATTTCTACGTGGTGCCCTCTAGTGCCCAGAAGCTCCAGTCTCTGGAGCTGCTCACCCCCTAGAGTGAGGTTGGGGGTCATTGGGGAGTGGAGCTGGTGCCTGGGGAGAGGAAAGATCTGTTTCCTGATTCCCATCATCAGTTCCTGTCTCCAGTATCACAGCCAGTGGGCCAAGCACACAGGTTTAAGCCTCTGTGCTTTGTGTCTGTAGCTGTTGTAGGTGGGGCCTCCATCTGGCTGGCCTAATGCCAGCGCAGTGACTGCTGGTTTGTGAGCCGGTACTGTCAAGCCAGGAGGAAGGCTCGGTAGGCTGCGTGTCACAGTGGGGGCCTCGGAGCTGAGCAGCCAGCCAGGGGGAAGGAGTGCCCAAAGCTACTCAAAGTTTGCAACCTGCTGGGCAGAGTGTGCTCAGACAGCCTTGTCCAGCTCTTCCTTCTCCCATGCAGCAAGTTCTGTGCAAACCCCGCCCCTTCAGCAGCCCTCTCGCTGCTAGGAAGCCTCTCAGCCCACCTCTCTTTCCCCTGTCACAGAGCGGCCGGATGTGGATCCCATCCTCCACAAACAGCCAGAATGTCCATCTCTCAGGCAACTCCGCCTGTCCCAGCTCCCCAACCTCCAGAGCACCACATAGTGTAGGTTTCTGCTCGCAAAGCAAATCTCCAGGGCTAGTTGTTCAGCAGTCCCAGGCTTCCACCTCCTCCCCACTCCGGTTCTCTTCCTCCTGCCAGTGAGCTGGGGTGGGGGAAGGGCTTGGGTCCCGCTGGATCAGAGCTTTGGTATGTTACCCTGTTTCGTGAGGTGTGCTCTGTTCATGAGGTCTGTATGCAGTCTGGTTCAGCCTTCTTTCCTGTTGCTGTTTTATGTTTAGTTGTATTAATTAACTATATTTTTGTACTATTTGTGGTTTTGGGAGGAGTTCTCTGTCTCACCTCTCATGCCACCATCTTGAATCCATCCAAACCCCTTTTGTATGTCAACACTGTTGTCTCTTATGTCAGACTTACTTAGTGAACAGGAGTGACTGAGTGAAGAGAAACCATCTGTTTAAGCCAGGATACCACTGTGAAAAGTTAGAGAGCTATACTGAACTATATAAAATTCATTCCTACAATTCTGTTTATTCTGAGGGCATTTATATTAGGTAGTTATTTGATTGGTACCTGGCATCCATTCTGCAACTTTCAGTTAAATAGAATACCTCACATGGGAACGTAAGTAGAGTGAAAGAACACATCAGAAGAGTGAGGTCGAACATAACAAAAAAAACAAAATCCAGAGCTTCCAGCTTTTGTCTGCTCATTATTCTTATCCTTTCTATTTCTGTTTCTGGCCCTGGCCTACTACTTACCTTCTCAACCTTATATGGTCATTTGGTCTCCCCAAGCTAAGTAACACAGTAAAGGTTTATACTTACAAAGGGAGAAAGAGATGATAGATGGCAGAAGAGGCAGCAATGGCTAGGAAATGAAAGGAGTAATATAGTCACCCTGTTTTCACTTCACCACTTTCCTTTGACCACCTAATTGAAGCTTTTGTTGTATTAGAAAAGGATTAAGTCCAAATAACCCTATACAGTTGACCCTTGTACAACATGGGTTTGAACTAAGCAGGTCCACTTATATACAGGGAAGTTTTTCAGTAAATATATTGGAAAATTTAGGAGGGATTTGTGACAATTTGAAAAAAGTCTTCTTTTCTCTAGCTTATGTTATTGTTAGAATACAGTGCATAATCCATGTAACATGCAGAATATATATTAATCAACTGTTTGTTATCGGTAAGGCTTCCTGTCAACAGTAGGCTATTAGTGGTTAAGGTTTTGGGGAGGCAGAAGTTACATGTGGATTTGCAACTGTGCAGGGGGTTGGCATGCTTAACCCTCCTGTTGTTCAAGGGTCAGTTGTAGATTTATTTCACGTGCTAGGTAAAAATTAATGTTTATGAAGACCCCTGAGTTTTAGATATGACATTTGATCTGAAGTAGAGGTAGAAGTAGAGAATAGCACATGACAATTCTCTGAATGGCTTCTAGAGTTAGTTTAATTAGAGTTTGAATACTGCTTTATAACATAACATATTATACATATAGTATATAATTTAATTATACTAACATACCCATCTTTTCTAGGCAATTCTTCCACAAGAGGAATAGGAATGCTTGAATGTTACTGACTTCTATAGATTTATTTCCTGGAATATTAAGGCCCACAGACTGCAGAAACTCAATACTCTTGGTATTACCTTTTTCTGTGGTTAGCTTTATTTGTACAAAGCTTCTGTATACCTCAGCCCTGCTCAAAAGAGTAAGAGCCCAGGCCAAGCTGCTCAACCATGACATATAGACTACCTGTTTTATTGATGTTGGGAAAGCATCTAATCTATAATATACAAAATCCTTCCTTAGACTGTAAACCAGGAGGGCAAGAATCATGTCTTTTTTATTAACAGTTGTGTCTTCAGTGCTTAGCACAATGCATGGCATACAGTAGGTACTCAGTAAATATTTATTGAATGAATGGTAGTGTATAATGTTGTGAATTTAGTCAATCTGGAGAGAAGCAATCCATAAAATTAGTTATATTTGTGGTGAGAGAAGATAGATGAGGAAGGTTGTCATTTTCTAGATTTCATATCTTTGATTGTTTTGGTTCTTTTATTTTGTCATGTGTTTAAATAGAGACTATGAGAAAGGGGAAGGATCTGGCTCCCAGGTTACGCTGATCCTAAGGGGCTCCAGAGATTGTAGAAGTGACTCAGTGAAAGGCCCTTAATAAAACCTTAATAAAACAAGAGAGACTTTCTCCTTCAGCTGCTTGCTGATATTCAGAGGAAGAACTACCTATTTTTTTATCCCTTGGCCACATTCCAGTGAACTGTCCCAGCAGATAGAGCAGAGGGTAAGAACTGGAAGGGTTATCCTTTGGGTAGAGAGTTGCAATTGTCAAGCTATATTACCTCTGACTTTCAGATTTTTAAAGAGTGATATAACCAGGTTAGGGGATGCCTACCTTAGTACCTCTGACTAGTGCCACTACGTGGTACTTTTGTTACCCTCTCTAGGTTGTACTCCGAGATAACCACCCTTTTCACCCACCCTAACTTTAATATTAGCAATCAAAGCCATTATATCTAGACAAGAAAGACAGCTGCCCAAGGCGTTCTCCAGTTCTGTGTGTTAGTCATTGAAAAGAGGGTGCCTTTACATTTTTAAAGGGTGACTATAATGGGCTGGAAGTTTTTATATACACACAAAACACAGGAAAATCATTCCTATTACTCTATAGTAATTTCCTATGTTTTTTACTGAGTTTTGCCCAGAAATACTGAAAGAAAGAAGAAAGGAGGGACTTTTTAACAAGTGTTCTTCATTTGTAAGCCAAACATTCTGCCTGTCACCTATCTTAGGATACTTTTTACCTTTCTAATTTCTTTTTTATGATACCTTTTTTCTTGTATAATTACAGCTTTGGCTTTACAGATAAAGTAGAAAAGAAGAGCCAGTGTCCCATTGGGGTCTTTGGTAATGGTTTCAAGTCAGGCTCCATGCGGCTGGGAAAGGACACTCTTGTCTTCACCAAGAATGGGTGTTATCTCACTGTTGGACTCCTATCACAGTCCTATCTGGAATGCATCCAGGCCCAGGCAGTTATTGTGCCAATTGTTCCATTCAGCCAGGAAAGCAATATCCTTTCTGGAAATGGAGAATATTGGTAAAAAAATTAGTCTAATCTATTTTGGTAGAAAGCTCTTTCTTCAGGTCAGATCCAGCTATCAAAATTTTTCATATTTAAAAAGGTATTCAAATGTCTTTCTTACATTTAACTAGAATTTCACCCTGTTAAGTAGTTCTAAAATAGGTGGACCACTGACAGAAGCTAAGAAATGGTTTTGTTGTATCAAAATTTTCATTGTTACAGGATTTGATCTGTGTAGTATCTTCCCCCTGCATATCATCTTCCCCCTACACCACTATCATGATAAAGTTCCCAGGGCCTTTTTTCTCCCCTAAGAGTAGTTACATTTGCATCATGCTCTTAGTAACCTACTATTCATCAGCTTATCTGATAGCAAAATCGTTCATTTCCCTATACCTAGACAAGCTATTATTTCTGTTAGACACCAGGTTGTGTTAACCCAAGCTGTATAGTTTGAACTCACTGCTTCCAAAGAGTCTAAAAATTAAGCTTTTGATCTATTTCTTAGATACAGGACTGTCTTTGTTTACACTGTATCTTTGAAGCTATATTCTGCAGAGCTAACTGGTTTTGGTGTTTGTGTCTGCAACCTTTCTCCCTTTTTTCTCCTTTCCTTTCTTCTATAGCAGTTAACACCCATGCTTTATGTCTATATGTCTGTATTTTTTCTAAGTTGTGCAAGCCAAAAGACAGATTTGCCTAGTTTGTAGCATCCTTTTGTACTAATTTTTCTTTGACTCTATTTGGTTTTACAAAAAATGATTGTTACTGAGGATTCCTGGCCCAGCCTAGAAGCCATCTTGAAACATTCAATTTTCAAAAAAGAAAATGACCTGCTGTCCCAGTTTGATGCCATCACAGGCAAAAAAGGCACCCGTATTCTCATTTGGAACATCCGCAGGTATAGTATCCCAAGGGTGATAGAGTCTAAGAAACAAGGGTTGTGTGATGAAGCACATTTTAATTAATTTCTAGAGAAGCAGAGTAGAAAAATTTCAATATGTACTTGTATCTCATTGCCTGTCTTTCCTTGACTTTCTTAGAACCACAGCTCTATGAGATAGTTTTTATTGGTAAAATGTGGTGCTTAATAATGTGGAGACATGCATATCCTGAGGCTATTGCCACAAATAATCAAGACAGTTCATCATTTTTTTAAGATCTTCGGAATCCATTATAAATATTTTATATTCATAAGACATTGTTTTGAGATAGGTAAATGATAGTTATTTTACTTATTTGACAATGAAAATGAAGTATGAGAGAGAAATTAGGGTAACAAAGAGCAACATGATCCTTAAAAATAAAAACCTCTGTATTAGTGCTTTCAAAGAGGCTGTATTAGAAATATAAAAATCTTTGAGGCAGCTTAATTTGAACTATAAAGAGGTTGGCTTCAGGTCATGTGTTTGAGCTTATAAAACAATCTAGAAATACTCTAGGATGCATCAATTGTTTAATCTTGTCATCAAATGGAATGTATTTAACAGTGTCTGCTAAAAGCTAAAAACCTTCAATATAAAATAGAGATGACACTGGTATGTTTAATAGAACAGAGTATCAGACATATTCATTCTTTTTCTCAAGCTAGGTATTTTGCCTTATTTCTTAGCTGTGTAAAACTTATGTAAGAACTATGCTGCTTTATATAGAGTGTACTTTCAATTAAAAAAGAAATAATACAGAGGTTTTTCACAAATTGGTAATTACATCCTCTTTGTCCTATTGAGAAAACCTCAAGTAATATTAATTATATTATAAAGGATCTATAAATGTGGTATTTTCCTGAGGTATTTCCAATGATTTAAACACATCAAGCAGACTCTTCTTTGTACACTGTTTCTCAATTAAATGGTATTATGTGTTAGTAAATAGCAGATGTCATGGTCAAATAACTTTGGGAAAAGCTGACTTAAACAAAGTTTACCATATTGCTTTATTGCAGGACTTCTCAGAGACTTTAATATGCTAATGATTTTTCAATGAGCATTGAGCATATTTAAGAGAGCAATATAGTATGCATTTACCAATTTCAAAAAAATGTTTTTCAGACCTCTTTTCCTTGGATGGTGAATGCTGAGGGGCAGGGAGGACAAAGAACCTCTTCAGAGTGTGTGTTAGACTGAAATGGGACAGCAAGAGTCAGGATTATCCTGGAAAACCCAGAATATGCTATTATAGCGCCATGGGTTTTATACAGGCTGTATACAATAATGGCTCTGGTCCAGCGCTGAAGAAGGAGCTCCATTTTTCAGCACAGCTGCTCTGAGCTGTTAGAGCCTAAAGTATTAAGGGAGGTATCACTAGAGTGTAAGGTGGCTCGGAGAGCCAGGAATTGTTCTCGATTTTTTCCATCATACAGCCTTTCTTTGTTTCTTAAGGGCAGTTTGAGGACTACTCTTCTACAGAACAAATTTTGGGAACTATTGTTCTGATATATATGTTTTCTCTATAACCCATCATTTGTTTTTTCCAGGAACAAAGATGGATCTTGCCTTTTTTCCTTGGCAATTGTTAGTGATGTAGCCCAGGGTCTTGGATGCAGCAAAGCTAAGTGGCCCAAAAGGATTTTGAGAAGAAAGGTCCTTAGGAAAGGAATATGAGTACTATTATATTTAAGTAATAATTACACAAATGATATTCTAGAGGACTAGCAAATTTATGCTGTTTTTGTAACAACCTTATTTTCCTTCTATGAAGTAGGATTACATCTGGGGAAATCTTGGTATCTCATTAGTCCTTATATTATTGCTGAAGTTAGAAGTAGGTTTTGATTTGTCTATTTATTCAGTCATGGAACATGATGTTGAATGACCTACCCAACACTACCCAGAAAGCTGGGATTTTTTTTAGATCCTACTTTGAGGATAGCTAAGTCCCATTTGATTTATCAGATCACAGTCATTCCCACCTCCCTTTTTTTTTTCTTTCCTTCTAAACTTGGCATCACTACCTCTATGAAACATAGTGGGTTTTTGTAGACTGGAAATACCCTTAAATATTGTGTCATCGTCAAACCAAGTAGTTTATAGTTCCTTTGCACTGGTAGCCAGGGAAGAAAATAGATATCTGAGTTTTGGCTCACATTGTTTCTCTTCTCTTGGGTTCCTACTGAATTTTTGTCCTTTGGAGCCAGTTTTTGTTAGATTGGTACTTGTCTCTTTTACCCAGAAATAAAGATGGAAAGTCTGAGTTGGATTTTGATACCGATCAATATGACATTCTGGTGTCAGACTTTGGCACAGAAGAGAAGGAGACTGGTGGTGTTACCTCTGAGCTGCCAGAAACAGAGTATTCTTTACGGGTGAGTAAGGGAGGTTTTTCAACAATGAGAGGTAAGATTTCCTGTAGCATAAAAATACTATAGAACAAGATCTCACTTTAGCTATATAAAGATGGCAACCTTTTAGCGCTGTGCTAGAATTCCTTTTCACCATCTCCCTAACAGTTTTGCTAATATAGTCAGCAACACTTTAGTGTGGTGGTTGACGTAGTATAACAAGGTGTAGAAGCTGAGCCAAATTTTTGCCCAGTGTCGTCAGTCGCTAACTGTTTTATGGGGATGTCAGTAGAGTTGGCAATATCATATAATAATTTTCCCATCACTGTTTCATAGGCATTTTGTGGTATTCTATATATGAAGCCACGAATGAAAATTTTTCTGCGTCAGAAGAAAGTGACTACTGAGATGATTGCTAAGAGCCTGGCCGATGTAGGATATGATCTGTATAAACCTACCTTCACAGTATCCTTACAACTACGTGAAGTTGGCTTCCTCATTTTATGATTGGATTTCCAAGTGGGCACAGAAAAACAAAAACCTTTCCCTTTTCCAATTAAAAAATGTGTGTTATAGTACAAATCCTGCTAGAATGTACTCTAAAGAGATATTTCTTTAATGCCAATCTATACACCAGTTTTTTAAGAAATCTCCTGGAAATTATTAAAACAACAGCATCTTGAGTTTTTAGAGATCCTGGTTCAGTAGATTCTAAATTTATTTTTTAAATAAGAAATATTTATTTATTTTTAAATCCTCAAGTGATTCTAATGAATAGTCAGGTTTAAGAATCTCTGCTATAAGGAATAATACATACTATTTGGTTTGCACTGGAATTTTTAAAGGTACTACATTGATAGAAAATAAGCAAGATGTGAACTAGAATTTGTTAATCTTTTAGGCATGGTTTGATTTTTGTCATACATAACAAGTCCAGACTTATGTTGATGGAACTTAGGATAGTGGAAATTAAGGGTTGCTCTTCTAGGGTGAGATAAATTTTCAACAGGTTTCACATGGATTTTCTGTCCTTTTCATAATGGCAGCCACTCAGAGAATTACTCATTTTCACTTCTACCCTAGCATTATACTGGGAATGGTTTTCTGACACTTGAGAAAATCGTAAGATGAACTGGAAATTAGGTCCATCTTTGTTGATGGCTTTTTAGGGGAAAAAAAGCCTTTGAAAGGGTGTGAACTCAAGCAGTTATGATGAATTGCTCTTGTAATTTATTTCCTAGTAATTAAGCATAGCACTTGGCCTAAGACACATGTTCACACACTGTTTGCTTTATCAAAGATATTGCCTAGCTTGCTTTGTCTTTCTTCCCCTGACCAAAGATTAGAAATTGTTGTTTCCTTTTTTAAAAGCTATATAGTTGTTACTCATAAGCAGATTGATTTTTCTCCTTTTGGGGAACACATACCTTTCTATTATGAAAGTTTTCTTTTAAAGCCCTAAACAAACCTAACTTAACAAAGCCAGACCTAGCATTGTTAGCATCTGTATGTAAATTAGTTATAATATCACTATATGTAGCCTAGGATTTTAGTGCCACTGGTTAATAGAGCCAGTTTAAAGAAGTGCTTTCCAACTACGATTTTAGGATATCACCTTTCAGCCTCCAGCTTCTTTCTTTTGTGGTTTCTATCAGGGCAACTCAGATGCATTGTTAAAAAACAAAATTCAACTGAGTAAATTTGAAGATCTAATTGGCTTTATTAAGTGATTCATGAATCCAGTAGCATCCCATCTAGCAAGTACAGAGATGCTCCTGAGGAGATAGACAAAATGGAAGGTTTTTATTGGTGGGAGGGTGGAGCAAGGAAGTTATTAGCAAAAGAAAAGAAGGAATTGTTTCAGGTCTGGGCATCTTTTTGCAGGGAAGAGAAAGGCAGGGTTTTTATCATGCAGATTACCTCACTAGTGCTGATCTGGAAATTTCAGGTCTCTTAAAAGGTCATATTCCCGGGAAGAGTTGAAACTGTAATTAAGTCTTGGTTTGCTGGGGGTCTCCAGGGAACAAGTGAGTCCAATTCAATTTGGGCCTGTTTTTTTTTTTTTAAGAGCATGCATTCTGTATGTACCTCAACTCCTCTCAACCCCCCTTACCATTAAACTGGTTACCTTGCCCTATTACAATTTGGGCTAAATGAATTCACTGTAGGCACAAGTAAAATGAAACACCTAATAAAATTTCCCTCAATGTCACTGAGGGACAAGATCACTGATACCGAATTACTTGTCCCTTGATTATCAAAGGCCTCTTCTCTCCTCTTGTCCTTTCTCCTTATACTAATTAGGGAAACCTCCTACTCCAGTGTACTCCCACCCCACAATTTAGAATTTGTAAAGTGTGTAACAAAGAATTTGACTATCTTTATCTTAAAAATGTTAATTTTATGGTGTGGAGTTTTGGTTGGTTTGTTTTGGGGAGTTTTGTCCTATTGTGTTTTTTTCACTGGAATAGGGTCTTACTTGAGGTTTGATTTGAGCTTCTAGAGCCCAGAATAGTATGTGTTTGGAGCTAAACATTATTGTGTTATATACCTAAATGTATCATGTCTTTGTATCATGCCTGACCCATTTGTCACAGGGATTTTTTGAATTTTTTTTAATTGAAGTATAGTTGATATACCATAGTATATTGCTTTCAAATATATAACAGAGTGGTTCAGCAGTTACCCATATTATTAAACCCTTACCCCCACTAGAGTGGTTACTACCTGTCAACATAGCAAGATGTTACAGAATCATTGGCTGTATTCTGCATGCTGTACTACTACCCTTAGGACTAACTTATATTGTGATTGAGAATTTGATGTAAGTAGCTTGTTATTTAGAAGGAGCAATGGAGATCATTTTTTTTAAAGTAACAAATTTTCTTTAAATTCATTTTAGCATGAAGATTTCTTAGTAGTTGTTTTAATGAAAATCTCAGTTTCTCTGTCCTTTATCTTCCTCATTTTCTCAACTTGGTTTATAAATCAAATAGAACTTGCTAAAAACTAATCATTATTCATATTTTATATATGCTAATTTAGTTCTCTTTATTTCATCTATCCAAGTTTGACTTCTTCCTGTGAAATGTAGTATAACACAATTATTCATTGTCCTTTACTTTTAAAAGTGATTTTGTTCTGGGTGTTTTTTTGCTTTTACTATGTTTTGTATGATGAGCAGGACTTAATCTTACTGCTTATAATTGTGTGGATTTGTGGTGTACCATTTACAACTCTGATTTTACCTAAGAGCAAATTGAACAACTAGTAAGGATTAAGAAAGGTTTTGAAATTATTTATGAATTTTTAAAATTAATTTAAAAACTATGAATTTTTAAACCATATTTTGTTATATTAGAGTTTTTTTATATGCATGTACTTACATATACATGTTTTAAAATAATACTTGTTATTATATTATGAACATTACCTAGTGTTCCCAAATATTTTTCAAGGATATGATTTTTAAGGGCTGCAAAATAGACCATGTGGGCATGCCAACATTTATTTAGTCATTCCTTAATTGTCAAACATTTAAATTACTTGTTTTCTACCATTATAATTAATTGATAAATTTCTGTGACTCATAAACCTTTAGGGGCTTCCCTGTCTGTTTTTGTAAGAAAATTCCTAGAAAGAGATTTATTTGATCAAAGTTTAAGAATATTTTTAAAGCTATTGCTACAAATTTTTGTAAATGCCCTCTGGAAAGGTTGCACCGATTTATATTCATTGCTGTTTGATGTGTTTTGCTATAATATAGTGCGAAGTGTCTGCAAAAACCCCTGGTGTTTGTCTCCTTAATGATTTTCTTCTCAGAATAAGCAGGTGAAAATAACTTTTGGGTTCTCTTGCAAGAAAAATAACCAGTTTGGAGTAATGATGTATCATAACAACCGACTCATAAGATCTTTTGAGAAGGTGGGATGCCAGGTGAAGGTGAGTGGTTAATGTTTCTTTGTCATAGAAAGCTGAAAAGAATAGGAAGAGCATTTAAAATTTGCAGAGAGGATAAACTCAATGACTTCTACTCCCCATTATATGATGTTGTTCAATATGATCCTGGAATTTTGTGTTACCAATGAGCTTATCTTGTGTTGAAAAGCTCTTTCTACTTCTCATTCTCATAAATGTTAATCAACCCAGGAATTTCACCGAGTACATTTTCTAGGTAGCTGTTAATAAGATGTACAATTAGAACAGTAGCAACTCTGCCATGTGTACCAGTTTATTAGTGTTTAAAGGTAGCTAGCTCTATTTTTTGGGGGAGACAAATAGGCATAGTGGAAAATGCATAAAATTTAAAAGATGATGATGAGGCTTTGAGTCCTGGCTTTCTACTTAAAAGCTGTGTAACTTGGGCTAAATCCTTTAATTTCTCGGAGCTCAATTTCCTTACTTGTAAAATGGAAACAACAGTAATAATTTTACCTGACCTGCCTGCCTTACAGCTTACAGAGTTGAGAGATTTAAATGGGATAAATTACATGAAAATACTTTATAAACCAAATGATACAAATATTGCCACCATCTTTAATGTTTTAATAACAATTTAAAGTAGTAATGTCCATAAGTATCCCATTCATTCCTGTTTTACTGATAAGTTAGCTAAAACACAAAGAATGATAAATTGTTTTATAGTATATAGTAGGACAAAGTTATAGAAGACCCAGGACAGCTTATTTACAGCCTTTGTGCTTTTCATTGTTATGTCATCTTTATATGTAACTTGCTTTTTTTAGCATTGTCATTCTTTGTTCAAATGAAATTATATGGCAATCCCATAATATAAAAGAGATGAAACTGGACATAGGGTGAAGTAGAGATGACTATTAGTCTGTAGAAAATCCTAGGGAATCTACAGATCTAGGTTCAAAAATCTCTGCCCTAGAATTTGGCAAAGGTTCCAGTTCAGTGTAATATTTGCACTATATTGAAGTACATTCTGAGTGTTTCTCTAGATCTTGCTGGCTTTTACTAGCCTGTGAACGAACGTTTTATAACCTTTCTACCATTGTTTGGAATCAAAAGGAAATGCCTCCAGGCAGCCAACAGTAATGTAACTGTTGAAATTAATATTTTTCTTCTAAGCCAACTCGTGGAGAAGGTGTAGGAGTAATTGGAGTCATTGAGTGCAATTTCTTAAAACCTGCCTACAACAAGCAAGACTTTGAGTACACCAGAGAGTACCGGTGAGTCACTCCCAACCTCAGTGAGGTGTTTCTGTTAGTTTGTTCAGATATGGTTCTATTCTCTGAAACCTCTAAAATTATCTCTAAAAACCAGCCGGACAAGTTAACTGGGAATTCCTTTAACTCTGTTTTCCAGGGTTGGAGATGAAATGATTTTTTTAATTAAGATATCATTAATATACAATCACATGAGCAACATTGTGGTTACTACATTCCCCCTATTATCAAGTCCCCACCGTGTACCCCATTACAGTCACTGTCCATCAGCATAGTAAGATGCTATAGAGTCACTACTTGTCTTCTCTGTGCTATACTGCCTTCCCCGTGCCCCCTCTACAATATGTGTGCTAATCATAATGCCCCTTATTCCTCTTATCCCTCCCTTCCCACCCACCCACCCACCTACCCTCCCCAGTCCCTTTCCCTTTGGTAACTGTAAGTCCATTCTTGGCTTCTGTGAGTCTGCTGCTGTTTTGTTCCTTCAGTTTTTCTTTGTTTTTATAATCCACAGTTGAGTGAAATCATTTGATACTAATCTTTCTCCACCTGGCTTATTTCACTGAGCATAATACCCTCTAGCTCCATCCAGGTTGTTGCAAATGGTAGGATTTGTTTTCTTCTTATGGCTGAATAATACTCCATTGTGTATATGTACCACATCTTCTTTATCCATTCATTTACTGATGGACACTTAGGTTGCTTCCATTTCTTGGCTATTGTGAATAGTGCTGCAATAAACATAGGGGTGCATCTGTCTTTCTCAAACTGGGCTCCTGCATTCTTAGGGTAAATTCCTAGGAGTGGAATTCCTGGGTCAAATGGTATTTCTATTTTGAGCTTTTGAGGAACCTCCATACTGCTTTCCACAAAGGCTGAACCAATTTACATTCCCACCAGCAAAGTAGGAGGATACCTCCACATATGTTGTTGTTTGTCTTTAGGATGTTGGCCATCCTACCTGGTGTGAGGTGATATCTCATTGTGGTTTTAATTTGCATTTCTCTGATGATTAGCGATGTGGAGCATCTTTTCATGTGCCTGTTGGCCATCTGAATTTCTTCTTTGGGGAAGTGTCTGTTCAGATCCTCTGCCCATTTTTTAATTGGGTTATTTGCTTTTTGTCTGTTAAGGTGTGTGAAGTCTTTGTATATTTTGGATGTCAACCCCTTATCGGATATGTCATTTATGAATATATTCTCCCATACTTTGGATGTCTTTTTGTTCTCCTGATGGTGTCCTTTGTTGTATAGAAGCTTTTTAGTTTGATATAGTCCCACTTGTTCATTTTTGCTTTTGTTTCCCTTACCTGGGGACATATGCTCATGAAGAAGTTGCTCATGTTTATGTCCAAGAGAGTTTTACCTATGTTGTCTTCTAAGAGTTTTATGGTTTCATGACTGACATTCAGGTCTTTGAGCCATTTCGAGTTTAGTTTTGTGTGTGGAGTTAGACAGTAATCCAGTTTCATTCTCTTACATGTAGCTGTCCAGTTTTACCAACAACAGCTGCTGAAGAGGCTGTCATTTCCCCATTGTATGTCCATGGCTCCTTTATCATATATTAGTTGACCATATATGTTTGGGTTAATATCTGTACTCTCTATTCTATTCCACTGATCTGGGTCTGTTCTTGTGCCAGTCCTGAATTTTCTTGATTACTGTGGCTTTGTAGTAGAGCTTGAAGTTGGGAAGCAAGATCCCCCCTGCTTTATTCTTCTCAGGATTGCTTTGGCTATTCGGAGTCTTTGGTGTTTCCATATGAATTTTAGAACTGTTTGTTCCAGTTCATTGAAGAATGTTGTCGATATTTTGATAGGGATTGCATAGAATCTGTAGGTTGCTTTGGGCAGGATGGCCATTTTGACAATATTAATTCTTCCTAGCCAAGAGCATGGGATGAATTTCCATTTATTAGTGTCCTCTTTAATTTCTCTTAAGAGTGTCTTATGGTTTTCAGGGCATAGGTCTTTCACTTCCTTGGTTAGGTTTATTCCTAGGTATTTTATTCTTTTGGATGCAATTGTGAATGGAATTGTTTTCCTGATTTCTCTTTCTGCTAGTTCATCGTTGGTGTATAGGAATGCAACAGATTTCTGTGTATTAATTCTGTATCTGCAACTTTGCTGAATTCAGATATTAGTTCTAATAGTTTTGGAGTGGATTCTTTAGGAGCTTTTATGTACAATATCATGTTATCGGCAAAAAATGACAGTTTGACTATTTCCCTACCAATCTAGATGTCTTTTATTTCTTTGTGTTGTCTGACTGCCATGGCTAGAACCTCTAGTTGAATAAAAACTGGGAGAGTTGGCATCCTTGTCTTGCTCCTGATCTTAGAGGAAAAGCTTTCAGCTTCTCACTGTTAAGTATGATGTTTTCTGTGGGTTTGTCATATATGGCCTTTATTATGTTGGGGTACTTGCCTTCTATACCCATTTTGTTGGGTGTTTTTATTATGAATGGATGTTGAATTTTGTCAAATGCTTTTTCAGCATTTATGGACATGATCATGTGTTTTTTCTCCTTTTTGTTGATGTGGTGGATGATGTTGATGGATTTTCAAATGTTGTACCATCCTTGTATCCCTGGGATGAATCCCACTTGATCATGGTGTATGATCCTCTTGATATATTTTTGAATTCAGTTTGCTGTTATATTTTTGAGTATTTTTGTATCTATGTTCATCAGGTATATTAGTCTGTTTTTCTTTTTTTGTGGTGTCTTTGCCTGGTTTTTGTATTATAGTGATGCTGGCTCCATAGAATGAGTTTGGAAGTATAACCTCCTCTTCTATTTTTTGGAATCTTTAAGGAAAATGGATATTATGTCTTCTCTAAATGTCTGATGAAATTCAGTGGTGAAGCCATCTTTCCTGGGGGTTTTGTTTTTCAGTAGTTTTTTGATTACCAATTCAATTTCATTGTTGCTGATTGGTCTGTTCAGATTTTCTGTTTCTTCCTGGTCAGTCTTGGAAGGTTGTGTTTTTCTAGAAAGTTGTCCATTTCTTCTAGGATATCCAGTTTGTTAGCATATACTTTTTCATAGTATTCTCTAATAATTCTTTGTGTTTCTGTGATGTCCATAGTGATTTTTCCTTTCTTATTTCTTATTCTGTTTATGTGTGTAGATTCTTTTTTTCTTAATATCTGTGGCTAAGGGTTTATCTATTTTGTTTGTTTTCTCAAAGAACCAACTCTTGGTTTCATTAATTTTTTCTATTGTTTTATTCTCAATTTTATTTCCCCTTTGATCTTTATTATGTCCCTCTTTTTGCTTACTTTGTCCCTCCTTCTGCTTACTTTGGGCCTTATTTGTTCTTTTTCTAGTTTCAATAATTGTGAATTTAGAGTATTCATTTCGTATTGTTCTTCCTTCTTTAAGTAGGCCTGAATCGCTATAAACTTTCTTAGAACTGCCTTTGCTGTGTCCCACAAACTTGGGGCTTTGTGCTGTTGTTTTCATTTGTCTCCATATATTGCTTAATCTCTGTTTTAATTTGGTCATTGATCCATTGATTATTTAGGAGCATGTTGTTAAGCCTCCCTGTGTTTGTGAGCCTTTCTCTTTTCTTTGTACAGTTTATTTCTAGTTTTATACCTTTTTGATCTGAGAAGTTGGTTGGTAGAATTTCAGTCTTTTTTAATTTACTGAGGCTCTTTTTGTGGCCTAGTGTATGGTCTATTCTGGAAAATGTACAATGTGCACTTGAGAAGAATGTGTATCCTGCTGCTTTTGGGTGTAGAGTTCTGTAGATGTCTGTTAGGTCCATTGGCTGTTCTAGTGTGTTGTTCAGTGCCTTTGTGTCCTTATTTTCTGTCTGGTGGATCTGTCCTTTGGAGTGAGTGGTGTATTGAAGTCTCCTAAAATGAATGCATTGCATTCTATTTCCCCCTCTAATTCTGTTAGTATTTGTTTCACATATGTAGGTGCTCCTGTGTTGGTTGCATAGATATTTATAATGGTTATATCCTCTTGTTGAACTGACCCCTTTATCATTATATAATGTCTTTCTATGTCTCTTGAGACTTTCTTGGTTTTGAAGTCTATTTTGTCTGATACAAGTACTGCAACACCTGCTTTTTTCTCCCTATTGGTGCATGAAATAGCTTTTTCCATCCCTTTACTTTTAGTCTGTGTATGTCTTCGGGTTTGAAGTGAGTCTCCTGTAGGCAACATATAGATGGCTCTTGCTTTTTAATCCATTCTTTTACTCTGTGTCTTTTGATTGGTGCATTCAGTCCATTTACATTTAGGGTGATTATCGGTAGATATGTACTTATTGCCATTGCAGGCTCTGAATTCATGGTTACTAAAGGTTTAAGGGCAATTTCTTTACTATCTAACCATCTACCTTAACTCACTTATAATGCTATTGTAAACAGTGTGATGATTCTTTATTTCTCTCACTTCTTTTTCTTCCTCCTCCACTCTTTATGTTAGGTGTTTTATTCTGTACCTTGTGTGTTTCCCTTGACTGATTTTGTGGATTGCTGGTTTTATTTTACATTTAGTTAGTATTTGGTTGGTCTACTTTCTTTGCTGTGGTTTTATTTTCTTTGGTGACAGCTATTTATCCTTAGGCGTACTTCCATCTAGAGCACTCCCTTTAAAATACATTGTAGAGATGGTTTGTGGGAGGTAAATTCTCTAGCTTTTGCTTATCTGGGAATTGTTTAATCCCTCCTTCAAATTGAAATGATAATCTTGCCGGATAGAGTATTCTAAGTTCAAGGCCCTTCTGTTTCATTTCATTAAATATATCATGCCACTTACTTCAGGCCTGTAAGGTTTCTCTTGAGAAGTCTGATGATAGCCTAATGGGTTTTCCGTTTTGTGTGCCTTTTTTTCTTTCTCTGGCTGCTTACAATTCTTTGTCTTTATCCTTGATCTTTGCCATTTTAATGGCATTTGTCTTGGTGTTGTCTTCCTTGGGTCTCTTGTGTTGGGAGATCTGTGCACCTCCATGGCCTGAGAGACTATCTAATTCTCCAGATTTGGGATGTTTTAATCAATAACCTCCTCAAAGACACTTTTCTATCCCTTTTTCTCTCTCTTCTTCTGGTACCCCTGTAATGTGAGTATTGTTCCGTTTGGATTGGTCACACAGTTCTCTCAATATTCTTTCATTCCTAGAGATCCTTTTATCTCTCTGTGCCTCAGCTTCTTTGTATTCCTCTTCTCTAATTTCTTTTTCCATTTATTGTCTCCTCCACTGTATCTAGTCTGCTTTTAAATCCCTCCATTCTATGTTTCATTTCTGATACTGTATTCTGTAATGATTGAATCTCCATCCAGAATTCTTCCCTGAGTTCTTGAATATTTTTGTGTATCTCCATGAGCATGTTTATGATTTTATTTTGAAATCTCTTTCAGTTAGATTGATGAGTTCAGTCAGTTGGCTCTTTTTCTGGTGTTTGTGGGATTTGGGTTTGAACCAGGTTCCTTTGACGTTTCATATTTGTATCTGGTGCCATCTATTGCCCAAAAGCTCTACTGTCTCATGCCTGAGGGGAGGAAAGAGGTGTTTCCTTCTTCCCAGATGCTATGCCTGTCTCCATTGCCAGAACCAGTGGGCTGAGCACACAGGTGTAAGCCTCTATGCTTTTTGTTTGTAGCTGCTGTAGGCAGGGTTCTCTCTGGCTGGCCTGATGACAGGGTAGGGTTTGCCAGTTTGCGAGCCAGGTGGGGCTGGGCAGGAGAAAGGTGCAGTAGGCTGCATGTCACAGAGGGGCTCCTTGGAGCTGTGTAGCCAGCCAGAGAGCTGGAGCACCTGAAGACTGTGAAAACTCCGAACCTGCTGGGCAGAGTGCAACCGGACAATTTTGTCTACCTGTCCTTTCTCCTGAGCAGTAAGCTCTGTGCAGTCCTTGCCCCTTTCACAGCCCTCTTGCTAAGGGCTTCCTCGTTAGGAAGTCTCTCAGACTGCCCTCCTTTCTTTTGTCCAAGAGCAGCCAGATGTGGATCCCTGTTTTACACAAGCAGCTGGAATCTCAGTCTCTCCAAGTATTCCGCCTGTCTTAGCTTTCCACCCCACTAATCTCCAGAGCACCATGCAATGTAGGTTTGTGCTCCCAGAGCAGATCTCCAGGGATGGGTGTTCAGTAGTCCTAGGCTTTCACTCCTCCCCACTCTGTTTTCCTCCCTCCGGTGAGCTTGGGTGGGAGAAGGTCTTGGGTCCTGCCGGATCAAGGCTTTGGTATGTTACCCTGTTTCATGAGGTCTGCTCTTCTCTCCAGGTGTATGCAGTCTGGCGCAGCCTTCTTTCCTGTTGCTCTTTTAGGATTAGTTGTATTAACTATATTTTTGTATTATATGTGGTTTTGGGAGGACTTCTCTGTCTCAGCTCTCACACCACCATCTTCAATCCCTCCCTGTAAATGTCTGCTTCAGTGAGGTCATTTTTGATTCATTTCTCATCTTTAACAACATCTATTAGAATCTTTAGAAATTTCTCATGGATTCCCACAGTCATTACTGTAGTCAAGATTAATGTTTCCGCTAATTGGGAGGATCAAATGACTGGCTACATAAGCACTGCCGGACACCAGAACCTGGGCAGTGGCACAGCGGTGACGGTGCCTGGCACTTCCTGCCTCCAAGTTGGGGTTTTTTTTGAGAAGGAATGGGGTTTCAATATATATGAGAACATCTTAATTGAGGTGGTGGTTGCATGACTGTACACATTTGTTAAAACTGATAAAACTACACACTTAAAAAGATAAATTTTACTGTATGTAAAATTTACCTCAATAAATTTTACCTGAATGCATGAAACAGAGCTTTATTTTTTAATTGTTATATAATTCACATACCATAAATGCCACCATTTTAAAGTGTACACCTCAGTGTATTTAGTATATGCAGAAAGTTGTACAACTATCACCATGCTGTACCTCAAAAACATTTTAATCACTCCAAAAAGAAACCCCTGGCCCATTAGCAGTCACTCCACAATTCCCCTTCTCTTCACCCCTGGCAACCTCATATCTACTTCCTTTTTTTTTTTCAAAAAAATGTTTTAATATAACATACACAAAACATAAAATCCACCATTTTAACCATTTTTAGGTGTACAGTTCAATGGTATCAAGTACATTCATTTTGTTATGCAAGTGTCACCACCACCATCCATCTCCAGAACTCTCTTCATCTTGCAAAACTGAAACTCTACCTATTAAACAACTCCCCATTCCCACCTCCTCCTAGCCCCTGGAAACCACCATTCAACTTTCTGTTTCTATGATTCTGACTACTCTTTAAGTACCCCATTTAAGTGAAATCATACAGCTTTTGTCTTTTTGTGACTGGCTTATTTTACTGAGCATAATGTCCTCACACTTCATCTCATGTTACAGCATATATCAGAATTTCCTTCCTTTTTTAAGGCTGAATAATCCACTGTATGTATATACTACATTCTGCTTATCCATTTATTCATCAGTGGACACTTGGGTGGCCTCCATGTTTTTGCTTTTGTACTTTATAGACTGTTTTGTCTGATATTGGTACAGCTACCCTTGCTATCTTTGGTTACTATTTACATGGAATATCCTTTCCCATCCTTTCTCTTTGAATGTATTTGTGTCTTTGTATTTCAACTTAGTCTCCTATAGTTGTAAACACATGTAAATACAACATGTATTTAGTTAATATTTTTTTGCCCATTCTGCCAATGTCTGTCTTTTGATTGGAGAGTTTAATCTGTTTAAAGTAATTACTGATAAGAGCGACTTACCTTTGTCATTTTGCTATTTGTTTTCTATATACCTTATAGAATTTTTTGTCCTTCATTTCCTGTATTATTGTCTTCTTTTGTGTTTTGTTGATTTTTTTGTAGTGAAACATTTAAATTCTTACTATATTTTTGGGTACATTTAATAGCTCTTTCTTTGTGGTTATCGTGGGATTGCATGATCCTATGATCAGTAGCAGCAAACAGTAATCAGAACACAATCCCTTTTAATTGGAGGATGGTGTCCTTTTTGCCCACCCTGGGTACTGCAAGCTGTTCTTGAAATATATGCACAGCTGCCTGTCATGAGGCTGGGGGTGGGAGTGGGGTGGCTACTACTGTGCCTTCAGTAGACTCCACAATTTCAAGTAGTTGTATCAGACAGATTCTGCAGTCGTATCAGACAGATTCTGCCAGTGAAGTGGGGAGACAGATTCCTGGTACTTCCTACTCTACCATCTTCCCAGAATCCCATCTAATCTACTTCTTTTTAAAGTAGAATTTTAAGAGAAAACAAGTTATTCATCTGTGACTTGAAGGAGGATATAAACAAAGGTAGGAACATTTTTAGGTTGGAAGGGAATAAGAGTTTATAGGGGAACTCATGTATAATTACTTTAATCTCTGTGTAGTCAGAAACTAATTGAATATGAGTAAGGTGGAGGTAAAGAAGAATTTCTCTTAAGAAGAGAAGCAGTGTGCAGAACCATTCCATGGAGTCAAGAGATTTTTTAAATTCTAAATTTATAGTATTTCAGGTGTGTACATGCCTACATTAAGTTTTCATTGTGGATTGTAGAATTAAATAGGAATTAGTCATTAGAAATCGGCAATTTTTTAAAGTAAAATCCAGATTTTGACTTATACATATTATATTGTTTGACCCTGGGTCTTCTGCTGTGTTCGTTTGGGAAGAGAGATAAAGGAGGAAGAGCAAGAGCCGAAACGGGTACAGCTATACAGTAGAAGGTTGAAGGGGACTTTGTTGCCCATTGGTGCCCTAACTCCCCAGATCAGCATTTACATGAACAAGAACTATATAGACATTTTTGAGTTAGAATTTGATTGATTTATAATAGAAGGGGTGCAGTATTTGATCCTCTTACATTCACTTGGGGTCCTGACTTGTTTACTTGCAGTCATCTGACAGGCAAATAATTCCCCATTAACTCATCAGTATTTGGCTCTGTCCTAGCTCTGCAATTCAGTCCTCTGTCATTGACTCTAATGTCAACCCCCATCCCCCACCCCCAGCATGATTCTAAAAGCCCTGAAAATTTGGAGAACACAGTACATTTTAGGATTTGTGACCATATTACCTTTTCAACCAACGTGCCTATTCAACATCATGACTTAATAATTTTGACATGGAATTTGCAAAGGCAGTGGATTCCATTCTAGTTTCTGAAATTGCAGATTTTCAAACCTATGGTGAATATTCTAAAATGTTGGCTTCTTTTAAATGGGGGCATCTCAAAGATTGCAGAGTTCTTCCACAAATCCTCAGTGTTGATGTGCTGCTGCTGCTTTTTTCTTCCAGGTTGACAATAAATGCCCTTGCCCAGAAGCTCAATGCTTATTGGAAGGAAAAGACATCCCAAGAGAACTCTGAGACCTCAGCTATAGCCAGGCCAATACCGTGAGTAGTAAATGAAGAATATAAAATTATTAGGGGTTATATCCATAGAGCAAATAGGAGGAACAAGGGTAAGATGATGCATTTCATAAACTAGGGAATCGCAGCTACTAATTTTATCATTCTCTAGAACTCTTCATACTGGTTTAACACTTGGGTGGCTTGGATCATAACAATGAAGAGTTGAGTACTGTCAGTTTAGCCTACAGGCAGTGTGATATAGTGGAAGATGATGGCCATTTAAATCAGACACTCCTGGGTTGAAAGTCTGGATCTGCTTAATAGTTGGGTGATCTTGGGTGACTCACATCGTGTCACCTCTTTGAGGATATTCAATTAGATGACATAACATTTTTAGCAAAGTCCCTGGCATGTAGTAAGTACTCAGAAATGTTAGCAGACTTCCCTTCTCTTCATTGCTAGGAAACATTGTTGGAACTATACCAAGGAATTTGAGAGTAGAAGAAGAGAACTCAGCATATCAGAGAAGAGGTAGAATTTACTGAACATATAACAGAATTACACATAGAACCTGTGGATCAGGATGAAATTCCTCAATAGGCCAGGAAAGGAGCATAATACAGAGGATAGAATCTGTAGCAACACATATACAATCAGTTACACCACCATTAAGACAAAGATGAGAGTCTTAAAAGTTCGTTTCATGGTAGGCACCTGTTGTGTTTTAATTGGAAATCATCAGACAAATGTATGATAGAAAATTTTTGTTTCAAATGCAACCCAATTGACTGCTGTATGAATCTCTCTCTCTTATTCTAAAGATCTCTACTCATATCCAACCTCCCTGGTTTTCAAAGAAGTGCAAGTTAAGAGGAGATGCCATGTTTTTGACTTTCAAATAAGCAATGGTTAATACAATGAAACAGATGTTCATATATTGCTGGAGTGTGTGTGTGTATGGTACACAGCCTTTCTGGAGGCAGAATTATAACAATGATTATTGAGTACTTATATGTCAGGAACTGATCTATTTGAGAACAAAGGCTTTCTTTACATGTATTTGTGTTTATTTAACCATCACAACAACCTGTGACATAGACAGATGATATTATTTCTTGACAAATGTAGACCCTGATACACTGAGAGCTTAATGACAGTTTAAGTAACTTGCTCAAGATTAGATAGGTAGAAAGTGATCCACGGTTCAAATTTAGGCAGTCAGGCCCTCAAACTCAAGTTCTGAACCATGACAATCTTCTGGAAGGTTGCAATGAGGGGAATGTGGTATAGCCCCTTCAACTACCTATTTATTGCAAGCATGAGCTAAAAGCCTCTCCTATCTGCCTAGATGGAATTACCGGTACCATGGTCTACATGCAGCCTGAGGTAGGAGTTGCTGTCTCTCATGCTTGTCCCGAAGAGAGTAATATGGCATGCTTCTGCAAGAGACTCTTTTGTGCATGTACATGTAAAACCAAAGCTCATATGACCTTTCCTCTCCCCTCCAACCACTGCTGAAACTGCTTTTTGCTGGCTCTGGCTGTAAATAAAACAGTGGCTGTATGGAAATACACAGACACCAGAGGTCAGGCCTGAGCTTAGAGCTTAGAGGTTGTAAGGCTGGAGCAGCCTGGAGAGGAGATAAGCTGTATATCAAAAATTGTGTATGAATTTTCTTTTTAAAAACAGTTGTAAACAAGAAAAGGACATTATATTTGAATATTAGACTTATGAGTAGCTTTTCTTTTTTATATCTTTCTGTATTTTCCAGTTTTCCTATAATAAGCTTACTTTCCTAACTAGAAAAAAGCACTATATAAAAAGATAAGAAAAATATTGAAGACATAAAAGAACCACACCACTCTAATGAAATGTCTAGTGTAAGAGCAGTATCTACTCTCAATGATAAACACAAAACCCACCCTAGGCTAAATGACATATTTTTCAAATTTGCGCTAGGTGGCCATCTTCCCTTCGTCTGTATCTTTTCTCCAGCCTTCTCCCTTTCCACTCAGTCTGCCTTTCACACCTTAGATGCTGGCTGCTTCTATAATGTATGGGCCACCTCCTTCCACAGAGAAAAAAATGCTCTCTAAGGTTTATGTGACTGGGTTATGCTTCCTCAGGGGATGGGAGTAACTTTGTGTTTTAAGACTGAAGAATTTTATCTTAATAATATAGCCCAATTGTTGGTCTGGAGCTACCATTTCTAGTTTTATGAAATTTAACCAAATTCATACTACATTTTAAGATTAACTTTGAGGCAATCAACCTAATGGGTTTTAGTTCTTCGTAGTATTGTAATATATATATATATATTTTGCTAAGCTAATAAATTTTAGAGTTAAAATTACTTTCTTGTTTGCTTAGAACAAGAGGTCCCAGGACAAATATTATCGACCTCCACAAATAGTGGTTGCTCACCATGTTAATGCTTGTTACCAGTTTTCATATCCATATCTGGCATAATTCTATCATGATTTAATCTGTGATATTCAAGATACACACATTTTAGACACGTAGACTGTAAGAGTTCCAACTCATTTCATATGTAAAATTATGCCCTTTCACTTTTAAGGGGTTCCTATCTAATGTAACACAGAGCACAGAGCTAGAATATACACAGTCATACTTGTGTTTCCTTGCATTCAGGAAAATTCCTGACCAGACGTGGGTACAGTGTGATGACTGTCTTAAATGGAGGAAGCTTCTTGGCAAGGTTGATCCTTCTACATTACCTGCAAGATGGTTTTGTTGCTATAATTCCCATCCATTGTACAGGTAAGTTTAGGACTCAGTACTACGCCAGAGGTAACTCCTGATTTATTTCTATATTGTAAGACCCCTTTCATTGCAAGTCCACACTCTTCAGCCTGACATTCAAACCCCTGTGCTAAATGGTCCACCCTATGTATCCAGCCTTATTTTTCATCATACCTTCAGCCAGGCCTGTGGCTTCACTGTTTTCCACACATGCCATGCTTCTGCGCTTCTCCATGACTTGTTAGTGTCATTCCACTTGCTTACAGTGACTTTTTGCATTCCATCTACATATCCAAATAATATCCATCTGGGAAGCTTAATTATTTTATGTGATAAGTCTCCTATCAACAGTTTACAGTGATCTTACTCTGCCTTCCTGTGGTATTTAATTCTTGACATCTGTTCACATAGTGTTTTGTATTTTTTGGATGTTTCATAAGTACATACATTGGCTCTTCAAGAGATTGTAAACTATTTGGGAACAAAGACTTTCTTTACATTTCAGATTGAGTTGGTGATTTTCTTTATATGCTTCCCATACCTGAATCTGTTGTAGAAACTATTGGACATTTAATGCTGTTTGTTTACATGTTTGGCTTCCTAATATACCATGTGTTCCTTATAGCATCTAACATCTGTATAGTTTCTGGCATATCCATGGGTATTCATTTCAGTTTAACCAATATTTATGATTTGACACAGTAATCATCATAGGTTCGTAATAATAGCTCAGTTTGCTTTAATTCAGCTGTGACTTCCTTTTTTTCTGCAAGAAAATGCTGATACAAAAAAGGTACTAAAACAGTATGCTTCTTAGAAAAAGTTTAAAATGAAGAAAATTAGATACATGAAGTCTAGGTCTGTAATGAGTAAGCATTCCCCCCATAGTCTCCAGATGTGCCTGAGCACCTCTCCATGGAAAGTAAAGGAGTTGTGTGAGTAGAATATGGAACTGAGTGCTTACAAGTCTCAGTTTTAAGTACTGTCTCTCCTATCAGTTTACATTTAGTCCAGGAGACATAGCCTTCCAGGACACTTTGCCCCCTTATATAATGGGTATAACACAGGGTTTGCTATTACTATTAATTTTTGTTTCTTTCTTTCTGGGAGTACTTTTGACCATTGACTACATCTTCTAGTACTTCTCTCAGTTTTTACTCTTAAAATTCTCGTCCTTATACTTTCCATATAGCAAATATCTTTTCATTTATAGAATCCTCCTCCTCATCATCATCGCTCATCTCTGTTCTGTTCTTTTTATAGTGTAAGCTTCTCATCCCTTATTGCTGCTCTCCATCATAGCTTCTGATTCTCTTTTTCAGGCATTTTCACCTAGTTTAGAGATTCTCATGCTCCTGTACTGTATCTTGGGAATTACTTTCTTAGTAAACGGGAGGCAAAAGCCCTAGGTTCTAGTCTCAGCAATGTTCTCTCTATATGGAACCTCAAGCAAGTCTCTCTTGTGCTTGAACGTCACTGTGTTAAAAACAGAGGTTATGCGTCTGGCTGTCTACCATCATATGGATCTTGTAGTTGTCAAATACTTTGAATGTTTTGGGAGAAAGGTGATATATGCACCAAAAATAATTGGATGATAGTGCATTGAAATGAGAATTGCTACATGTTAACTGTCCACAGGCTTTGTCATGTGGGTAGAATCTGAACTCTATAATGTTAGAGCCTTGTTAACCTCTATGACCTCTCTTGTCATGGTTGTAAGGAAACTAAAGGCTAAATGTGAAGGGCATGTTTTGTTTCCAAAAGATGATTTCTTCTCTACACTGCAGGAGATGCTCTGTTCCAGAGGAGCAAGAACTCTTTGAAGACCTGCACTTGAGGAAGATGAAGAAACAGTTGAGTATACCTGAGGCTGTGTTGTGTATCCTACAATAGCGGAGCCTCACCCTTCCCAACAGGACAGGGGAATTTGAGAAGAGAGAGGAATTTCTTCTTTTTTGGTTTTTAATGATTTCCCTCCTCACCTCTCTGTTCTCCCAACTCTTTACTCCTTCTAAACACCTCCTGAATGTCTCAGTTAGTGGTTGCTTTTGTCGCTCTCCTCCCCTTCCCCCATTTCTTTTGAAGGAGCATTTGAAATCTCTCTTAAGTAGCAGAGTTCAGAAAGTCACCCTGGGTTACTTAATGAGATCCACACTATTTCTAATTTGGAAGGAACATTATAGTCTAAATCCGCAACTGGTAATCCATTTCAGCCTAAGAAATTCATGAGTGAACTAAATAGCACTTTTATCTTCTCCTAGAGATCAAACTGTTGAGAAGAAGGTGCCAGTGGGAAATGAGAACTACCAGGTGAGAGACAGCCCGCCCTCTTCCTTTTCTCACGCAGAATTTTCCCTAACAGAGGACATGGGTTGAAGGAAGCAGCAATCTTGAAAGCTGCATAGAAATCGGAATTGTTCTTCTGGTGGTCTTTTTTTCATTGCATCTTTTGATCTTGCTTTAATCTGCTGTTACAGATGTTCAGATCACCATTAAATAGAAGAGCCAAATCACTTATTTCCCAGATTTGCATGCACTACAGATTCTGGACAGTGTTAATGTTACATTCAGCGTCACAGAATATCCAGGGCTGCGTTCCATCCTCATACAGGCTGCTCCTATTGAGTTTCTGGTTTCCCTCGGTCTCCTTTCTTCCAGGACTCAGGGGTGATGCCTTCCTCCTTCCTTTCGGGAAGAAGGGGTGGTTCTTTATGCCCCTGCCCCCTCCCTGCTTTCAGGCTGACTGGCTTTTATAAAGACTGCTGTTTTGAATTTTCAGGAGCACTGTCTCTCGGACATGGTTGCCCAGCTCCGGACGCTGAAGGGTGCAATAAGGTTGGCCGTCCTTTCAGGGACACTCCTTTCCTGGCAGCCACCATAGCACCCATGTATCTTCCCCACCCAACCTTGCCTTTCTGCATGATTTTCCTCTAGATCCTCTCCCAGAGATGTCTACTAGTCGCATGTTAGATTCACCCTCCAGGTACTCAATCAGGGTAGGTCAGACTGGTGAGGATAGAGGCAATTTAATACTGATACTTCTTCTGACATCCCACTGAGACCAGGTAGATGAATATACAGGCTTCATACCCTAATGTCTTGGCTTAATTGTCTGATCTAGAGATTGGGAGATTCCTGGGACTGCCCTGTCCTCATTCAGTTTACCTCCCCTTTATATTCCTTCACCTTCATCATGCATACCATCTTCATAATCTGGCTCTCCTACAAGATCCCAGATGCATGTGTCTGTGTGTGTGCACTGTGAATATATTAACTTAGTCTCTCGCATGCATTTCTCCAAAACCAGCACTGACACTTGCTGCAGTGCTTATTCCATCACCCCTACCCTCATCACAGATCTCAGAGGAGTGAAAACCTAGCCACACACCAGGTCACAGGAGAGGATTAGACAGTGGTTAGGGGGCCTGGGGTTTTTCTGTGGGTGGGATGACTGTAGGAGCCAATAAATGAGTTGGGGAGGTCTGTTGGTGTCCGGGTGATAAGGTTATAACTGAACGTGCCTGGGTTCAGTGTTCTAGTGTACATTACTGTGCGCTGTTTGTTTTGTGTAGGAAACAGTTTCTTTTTATTTGGCCAAGTATTCTTTCCTAGCATCAGAAGAATTGACCGATCCTTTGGTATGTAGTTCAAAATTGGGATTTTTATGAATCGCTTCTTTTCTTGCTAGGTATTTACTAATCCACTGAAGATTGCTCTTGTTCAAGATATGGATGAACTGAATAAAAAGACAATTGGATGTGAGAGAATTGATAGCCCTAGCCAGTTTCCATCTGTTGGAGAAGAAAGCAGAACATCTCCTTTTCAACTTAAGCCTCTGAGTTCCAGTATTTTTCAGTTCTCCAGGTTGGTAAAAAATATAGTTTCTCTTCAATAATAGGTCCCAGGGCCCATTTTCCTGTAAAGTAAGTTGGTATGGTTATCATGTTTATGTTTTTCCTAAGGCCCAGCATGGAATTCAGAAGTGGTTTTGGAGAAATGCATGTGAGAAACACCAGTTTGGGTTGATAGAATTGTGTGTTGCATGTACCCCCAATTTTTCAACATTACAGCTTCCATATCAAGTCTATCTTTTTTTTTTTTTTTACTTTTTTGAGGTGATCATCTTGACAAATGCTCTTTCATGTGTTATATCCACATTATGTTAGAAATTACCTAAGTGAAATAATGGACCTGAAAACTCTTTGTAAAGCATAATATGCTATACAAATGTAAGGTAGTGTTTACAGTTAAGCATTATTTCTTTCTTAAAGTTTAGGAATATTGATAGGCCTAGAACATATTGGCCACATATAAAAATAACTGTTAGAAGTTTGTACCATTAGGTAAACTTTTCTAGTTCATTATTGCCTTGAGTAAATTATTAGTGTAAGTTTAGTCTTAGGCTTTACTCTTTCATCTTCTAGCAGCTCTTCAATGTTATTTTGTTAGTCTTTATAATAGAAAGGAACATACCTTTTCTTTCTCTTAAATATCAGGAGTATTTGAAGCATTGAAAGATATGTCTGCCCCTGTACTGCCATAGGACTGGAACTCAGGACTCCTAAGTAGGACTTACTTTGTCCTCTCTATTGTGCTTCTCATTACCGCAGGGCCAAACCATCGGGAAGGTATAGAGTTGCTCTCTACAAGTAGAAATTTCTACAGTCATCAGTAATGTGACTATTATAGAATGGGTTGTAAATCTTTCTTTGAACCTTTTCAGTTTGGCTGTCTTACCATATTATAGATAGAAGCCATGGGATACATAATTGGATAAAAAATAGCTCTTGTTTTTTTTCTCCCAGTGATACTGATTCTTCTCCCTGTTTCTTGCTTCTGAGGTGGATATTTTCCATTTCTCATCTAGACAAACATCCCTACTTGTGCAAGTCTTCTATTCAGTGATTCTTCCACAATTAAGCCCTGTAGATATTCGAAGAACCCTGTGACCCCCTGAACATGACAGAAAGCCTCAAAAGGAAATAAGCTGTTAGGAGCAAAGCTAATAAAACTCTAAAGGAATTAAATGAGAACCTGTATAAAAGCATCTAGAACAGTGCCTTGGAAGATAGTAGGTACTCAATAACTAGTAGTTTAATCTGAGTCTTATTGAAGGAGGAATCTCTAAGATTGAACTGTGCAGCAGAGGGATGAGAAGTAAGAGTTCTGTCAGTCTCCAGGGCTTGAGCCTAATTCTACTCTGCTCCCATTCGTGGTTCTCCAACTCCCATTGTAGGTTGGGAGGGGGTACAGTAAAGTGCTGTGCTATGTGTTTTTGAAGCCCAGTGTCACTTCTCTACTTTGATGTCCTTGAGGTGGTCATGCATCAGAATTGCAACTGGAGTAACAAGGTATCATTGTTCTTAAAGGCTGTCCTTTCACAGCTCTGACCACTTTTCCTTTTTCATCAGCGCTGTTTTGTTACTCTGTTGCAGTTTTTGGTAACCTGAAGGGATTACAAATACTAATCTAGGTATGTGTATTTTATGAGTGCAGTATGACAGTTCATCCATTGGGTGGCATACTTCATCAGTCTTTAATGGGATTTCTTTTTGAATTTTTATGGGACTGCCACATCCAGATTTGGGTTTTGACTATAGAGGCCAAGGTAAAGTACTTTGGCTGTTCATTTGTAATTTTAATTTGAAAATAGTATTCTTTCAAGAGAAAGAGATATGTAATAATTGATGCTGCTAATGTCATTTACGTAAGGTCAGTAAATGACGATTGTCACTTAAAGCTACACATATGCGGTATTCAGACTGATTGGAAAGAATCTGCCTTTTTATAGGGGAATGTGAAGGTGCTCAAGAGTTTAGTAAAGTATACAGGGTTTTCCAGTAAAACAGTGTAATAGAGTAATGAGTTTAGTCAAGAGTTACAAAGGTCTTCTGTTATTATCAAGACTTTAAGCAGATAAGAGTCCTTGGGTAATGTAGTACAGCTCTTTAATTCTAGATAAAGTAATGCCTACAGTATCCAAGTACATTTTTAAAACTGGACACTGGGGTAGATTATATGATGTAGTAGGGCCTCCGGAGGTGTATTGGGAAACAGTTTTGTAAGTCTCACAAATCTAGCAAGGGGAGGGGAGGACCTGCAATAAAGAATAGGTTCAGCCAGTATGTAAGCAAACATAACCTTTTAGGGGAAGACTGTTAAATTTCTGTTAAAGGGGTTAATCCCCTTTTGTTCATTAATTCTACATATATTTGAGTGTTTACTGTATGAAAGGCAGTATTCTAAGGTAGTGAAGGAGTCAAAGATGAGAGAGCTTATGGTAGTCAAAGTTATATATGTCAGTGTCTGATACATGCTAGGTTTCATATGAATGGTAATAAGGAAGGTCTAAAGTAGCCATAACCATATGGATAAAGGAGAAAATGAGTGGCTGTAATGTATTTAGATATTTAGAGAACCTTTGAGTAAGCTATATATCTTGTTTTAAAAGGATAACTGCCACCCCCAAATCGAAATTATGCTGTAATGGTGGAAGGAGGACAGGGGAGATACTCTAACATGTTTAAAGGAATATTTGAAACAAGAGCAAGATAAAAATAGAAGAATGATTTTGCAAATGAAAAAGATTGATTCAGGGATCAGTATTAACATTTTAAAAGATTATCTTTGAGATACTCCCAGAATGAAGAAATGAGTAGTAGTGGTAGACTGTTTCACCAATAAATAACCATTTGACTAGAAAAAATTATTAAATAAAATAATCACTACAGATTTCTAATTATTATCCTAGGAGTATACAGAAAATGGAGAAACATTCATTCAAGAAACTCTATTAAATCTCAGAAAGAACGGCCAGAGTCTTTGGCATTTAGCTTGCTCCTGTACCCTCCAGGCTGTTTTATGAAAACTACTCAGGGAATTCTAATCCAATTAGATCCAGCAAAGAAGTTGGGGTCTCCCATTTCCCCTAGTCTTCCCCTAGTCTAGAGCTATGGTTTCATTTGGGAGGGGCAGGCCTCTGACATTTCTCATCTCCCCCAGTTCTGTCTTGTAGAAGCTCTATTCCGGGCAGACCCAAGAGGACTGGGCCTCTCTTCTCTCACCCAGCTTTCTGTTCCCTGACCCAGCCTCCACTCACGTTGGAAGCACTCAACTAGGGAAAGCATACCAACAGCACTGGATCCCTGTTTTTCCAGCCTAAGCTTGCTGATAGGGCAGAGGATCATGCCAGAAAGAGCAAGGCAAAAACCATCCCAGTACCCATTCACAAAGAAAAAGTTTCAGTCTTGAAGAAGTGGGCCACTGTCCCTGTTCTCAGCATTTACACAGTGGTGCATTGATTCTGCTTAGGGTGAGAAGCAGGCCTTAAAGATGAACTCCTTAGCTCTACCTGAAGGAACTAGGTGGAACAGATCATGGAAAATTCCATTCCTAAGGGCATTGTTAAAAATAATGGAAATCCCGGTGGACAATAATTAATAGAGCACTCATAGCTCCATGGTACAAATTACAACAAGCAAAATGGCTGAGCAGTCAAAAGTTTGGTAACAGAACCAAGGAAAAATACAGTCAAGAATAGCTTTTCTGGGATCATAGTCAACTCTGGTATTTAGGAAGGCTGTGCATAAGCCCAAAGTTGCACTCACTCAGGAGCAATTAGATATTTATAGAACCAGAAAGTAATATATCCACTTATTTTTCTCTCATTCACATAATAGTTCCTTTTTGAATGCCTCTTATGTGTGAAGTTTTGTTTCCTCATTCCCATCTAGTGCAGTTAATCTTCCTGTGAGACAGATAGACACACACACACACACACACACATACACACACACACACACAGATAGAAAATGATACATGTTACAAGGGTGCTGAAGTGCTACTGGAGTTCAGAAGTAGCATTTGAGCTGGATTTAGACATGCAGTTTTGGGGAGGAGAAGGACATTCCAATCAAAAGAAGCAACATGAGAAAAGGGGCATTCCATTTGGCTGATGTTTGTGACGGGAAGTAGTGAGAGAAACCTGGAGCCAAATTATGTCCTAGCTCTGCCATTTACTACCTGCATGATCTTGAGAAAGTTACTTAACCTCTTAGGCCTGGGCATTGTCTTTAAAAATGAAGATAATAGTACTACCTACCCTGGGGTTATTGGGAGAATTGCATGAGAACATACACATTAAGCACTTACCACGCTGTCTGGCAGTGTAAGTGCTCTGTAAATGTGTCCTGTGTTTTAGAGTGGAAAAGCTTCAATACCAAGCTAAGGTATTTGAGCTTTTATGTTGTGGGGAGCAATAAATAGATATCAAATAGGGGAGTGACATAATTAGAGCAATGCCTTAGGAAGATGAACTTAGTGGATGATCTGGAGGTGAGAGAAGGAGAGACTGGGGAAGCCACTGACTGCAGTAGCCCAAGAGAGGTAATAAAAGCTTCAACTTGAGTGTTGATAGTGGTAGAACTATATAAAAGTACTGAGTTCGCTGGTGGCACAAATAGGCCACAGGAGAGAGAGCAGGTTTGAAGGAGAAAATAAAAGGTCAATTTCATACATCCTGAAGGAGACACCTGTGGGAGCTCCAGGAAGGAATGTGTGACAGGCAGTTTGGAAACTCACTAGCAGAGATCAGGGCTGGGAGAATGACTTGGGAGTTACTTACTGCCCAGAGGTTATTGCCAAAAGGTTGTATGAAATTACCAAAGAAAAGAAATGTAGGTAGATAGGAGAAGACAAGTAAGGACAGAACACTTAGAGGTGAGCAAATTAAAAGCAAGCAGAAAATCGCCTTTAATTGCCTTTCATAAAACTTGTTGCTCTCCAGTATCACATATCCTTCTCTCAACACCTGCAGACTGTTTTACTAGCTTCCTCAGTACTGTAGCTTCCTGGGCCATTTGCAGTGTCCCTTATACATGTTTAAAGATGAGATTTTTGTTCTTACATAGACCCTAAACCCTTCTGCTTGCCTCTTAAGGCTGACAACAAGATCTGTTAAGATGGCAGACCAGTTTTATTTCTGGCCAACACTAGTTTTGACATTAAGAACACTATAGGAAGCTAAGGTTTGAGATGTCTTACAGATGTTCTCAGAAATTGCAGAAAATTTGGGGCTGCCTTGAAATACTCTGAAGTGGCCAATGTGTTGCCTGAGTCTTTCTCACTGAAAATTTGAAAGTTGATTTTTATCTTGAAATTTCTTGGTTTTCTGCAGAGGTCAGAATAGTTACTAGAATAAAAATGCTGGTCCTGTCCTGCTATATGATATAAAACTGCCTATGGATTTAACTGCCACCATTTGTTCCATTAGTTCCTTTAACCATTAGTGCATATAGCAGCCAGAAATGGGAGGTGATTTGAGGTCACTCATGGGCTTTCTTGAAGAACTGAGGGAGCGCCTGTTTGCCCTGACAGAGGGGAATTCCTTTGCCAAATGGGGAAATGACTTGAATTGGCCAATTCAGTTTGTTTCTGACTGGGGTCCTGTGTTTTAATTAACTTTTACAAGTGAATAATGGGCAATAGCCATAATCCAGTTGGCTGGCAAAGGAACTGTGTGGTGTTCTGTTGTAATATAAAAAATGTGCATAAGTCTTTGATTCTGGAAGGTTTTTATGACACTTAAATTAATGAGCTGGCTCGGTTCTCCTCCACATACTCTACTAGGCTCTTTATGACCTTTTATTCCATTCTCGTCTTAGGGGATTTTGCCTGTATATATTTTCTTGTTTTTGTTTTTCTTCCTTTACTTGCCTCTTGGAAACAGTTCTAAGTCACACTGGTTTCTATCTTATTTCCAGAATTCTTACCAAGGTCAACCCGGTCCTGTTATACCCAGATGCCACTCTTCATACCTTTTGATTTCATCTCTCCCTTATGACCAACTGCCATCTTAGTAAACTGCATGCGTGAAGGAGGTGGGGCTTGGGGGGCAAACTTGTATTTCTAAGCTGAAACAATTTGTGGATACAGCTCGAGTCATTTTTAATATGGAAAATTTGAAGAGGGACTCCATAGGATAAGAATATACTGAGCATGTGTTTGACAGCTTACCATGTAATTTCCTTTGCTTCTTGCAGTAAATACAAAAGAATGCTGGGTCAGGAACCTGTGGAGAAACGAAGGAGGCTCCAGGAGACGGCAACAACTCCTCTAGATTACTGCATGCCTGGCTTTTACAGGAGTGGAGAGGCGACTGTCGCCTACCCTGAAGTGAAGAAGAGCCAAGATCAATCCAGTTCTGAGAGAAGCATACTGCCATACCTTTACCCAGAATACCCAGAAGCGAGTAAGAATACCAGTCAGAATAGGGAGGTTTCCCATCTGCATTCTGGGGCCCAATATCAACAGCAGGGGTCCCTGCCCCCTGAAGGATTAGATCAGATGCCAATATTGGTAGCAGAAGAACCCAACAGATGCAGCACCGACACAAGCAAGGAGGAAGTCAACAAGGGACCTTTTGTAGCTGTTGTCGGTGTTGCCAAAGGTGTTAGAGATTCGGGATCTCCCATTCAGCTGATCCCTTTCAGCAGAGAGGACCTTTCTGAGAGAAGAAAAGCAGGGGAATCCTGGAGCCTAGTGCCTTATTCTTCTGTGGACTCTGCTACAGCCAGAGGGGAGAAAGGAAGAGACTGCAAGGACAATAGAGGCCATAATGCGCCAAAGTTGAAGAACCAAAGCGAGATGGAAGAACTGAAAAGAACCACAATACAACTGGAACATGTTTTGGCTGAAAGAAATTTCCTCCAGCAAAAGGTTAGGGTAACACTTTATCACTGGGAATAAGAAATCATGGTAACCAAGGGACCAGAGACGTTGAGCTCTGATGATTTCATGTTCTGAGGCCTTTAAGCAAAATAGGCCATTGAATCTCTCTGTGGTGTACCTCAGATTATATAAACTCTGACAGGCTTCCCTCCCATATTCTGGGATTGAGAAAATCCATAAGTAGAGGAATATATATAGAGGATTCACAGAGGGAATATGTTAGGGACAATTTTGGGCACTCTTGTATCATGTGGTCATTGAATTTCTGTTTCTTGGACTGCAGGTAGTGGAGCTGGAACAGGAGCGGAATTACTGGCATTGTCAATTCAAGAGAATCCAACATGAATTGGTGATCTACAGTACTCAGGGGACAGAAGGCTTGTATTGGAGTAAGAAACACATGGGCTATCGCCAAGCTGAATTCCAGATGCTGAAAGCTGAGCTGGAAAGAACCAAAGAAGAAAAGCAAGAACTGAAAAAGAAACTGAAGGAGACAGAGACACACCTGGAAGTGCTGCAGAAGGCTCAGGTCTCCTATCAGACCCCAGAGGGAGATGACCTAGAAAGGTCAATTCCTAGGGTTTAGTTACCAGCTTGTGAGTGCTAATGGGAGCATCCCTGAGGATCCCCAGTTCCTGGCTAGCTGCAGATGAGGGAGGAAGCCTTAATTAGTCCCTCTGCCACCAAGGAGTGAGGCCTTACTCCTTAGCTGCAGCCAGTCTCCATGTGCTTGGTGGCATTTTGCTTTCTTCTTTCTTTCTAGCTAATGCAAACATAGTCGTTGAGAAATATAGGCCTATTTTTAAGGAGCTTCATTGTGTTCTGTTGGCTAGTGACTTCATGTCATCTCTTCTCCTGCCCCCTCACTCCATCATACAGGGCTTTGGCAAAGCTTACACAGCTGCTTATCCACGTCAGCTATCTCCTTACTTCTGTCCTCCCCCACTTGGAGCTTCCTGAGATCAAGTTTTACTCAGAACAAGTGGATGGGATCCTGTATACAGTTCTGGAGGCAAATCACATACTAGATTGAGCACTAGACTATATACTCTTCTACCTTTCTCTGCCCTGCCCTCTCCCCTCTCCTCTTCCTCCCCCCTTCCCCCTCATTCCCCTCTCCTCCCCTCCCCTCCTGTCTCCTCCCCTCCCCTCTCCTCTCCTCTCCTCTCTTCTCCTTTCCCCTCCCCTCCCTTCCCCTCCCTTTCCCTTCCCTTTTATTTTCTTTTCTTCCTTCTCTCCCCCACTTGTCTCTCTCTCTCTCTCTCTCACCTTCATGCCTTATATAGAGAATCTTTGAGTAAACCCTGGCTCTTAATCAGTCTGCTTCTTACTCAGTTTTGGTGTGGAGAAAGAGGCTGCTTAAATAGGCTTTCAAGAGTTCCAGGAACAAAAAAGCAATAGTCACCAAACCAGGTGACCTGAAAGCTTTGACTTTCGTGACTTAAATACTAGGCCCGTTTCATATTTTGTGAAGTGGTTTGTATTCATTTATGTTAAATCAGTCAGCAAATATTGGGTCCAATGTACTAGGTGTTGTGAGATAACTTAAGTATAACTCATGTTTTCAACCTTCAAGGATCTAGTTGGAAACACAAGACACACACCAAGTCAACACACAATTGTTTCTTTAAGTTGTAAGACTGTGACTGATATTTTTTCTTTTTCCTATGTCCTGCCTTTTTCAAGTTTTCTATAATAAACGTGTTGTTCTTACATTGGAAAAAATACTGTTTTTTCTTAAGTTATAGGACTGTGGTTGATATTTTTTCTTTTTTCTATCCTGCCTTTTTCAAGTTTTCTGTAATAAATCTGTTGTTCTTACATTGGAAAAAATATTGTTTTTAAAAAGAATGAGTAGTCTTGGATTTGGGAATCAAATGGGAGACTGTGTGAACATTGAAGGTAATGTTATATTTATAATTTATGTTACGTTGAGCTTTACCTCTGGAATAATAGCATGAACAAAGGCATGGAAAAAGCTGGAATGTGAGAAATGTGTTTCGTAGGAGTGATAAGCTTAATGTAGAGGGAGCTAAGGTTAAATCGTGATCCATCTACCCACCCCTCTCTGTGGTATTTGCATTTTAATAAGGAATCCTCAAAAAAGAAGGCTTCAACACTCAAAAAAATATGCATCACCAAAGTTGGAATTGCAGATAGTTGGGAAGCTACTTTAGAGCTGGGACATCTAGTTGGTATCCCTTAGACTACACCACCTAACTACTTTTCAGCATGAAGAGTAGATCTCATATCAGAAATAGTAAAACTTACACTCTTGTAAAAGTCAACATTTTATTTATTCATTGCTTTATTGTATTTATATAGCACTTACTCTCCAAAGAGTTCAAGGTACTCTTCAAAAGACTTTGAACAATGAGCGCATGAAAATACACCAACAGTGGAAAAATAGGAAGTAAAGGAGAAATCCTGGAGGAGGATCAAGCAACCATAAAAGGACTAGCTAGTCCAGAAGAATGGTTTGAATAGTCATTCTGCTTTTCCTCTGCAGAGTTCCTTCAGAAGATGCTCCCAAACTTCCTTCACCTCCTTTGAAGGAAGGCTCATCATAGATATTCCAGTGAGACTGCAAAGAATAGGGGAGGCCAGAGCCAGGCTTCACCATTAGTATGAAGGCCTAAAGATATCCCAGCGCCCTCCCCTCCGCTCCCCTCCCCTCACTGCAGCTCTAGCCTGCTTTGGGATTAGTTCTCATGTCAGACATTGGACTATGATATTAAAGGCCCCAGTTGTCTAAATAGAAATATTACTAAGAGGAAGAGACAGCTCATTCAGCCATTTTCTCAGTGATGCCTGTTCTCCAGATGGGGGTTGTGAGAAGTGGGACTTGGTACAGATACAGCCAACAGGGATGGAAGGCTGTGTAGGAAAAACTCAAGAGCATTGGAGATTCAGCCTGTGACGGGGGAAGAGGAAGAAGGTATGTTGGGTGAAGGAGGTGACGAGTAAGAAAGAGGCAGTTGGGCTTTAAAAAGAAAAGCGGAAAAATGTAACTCATCTTTACTAGTGCTGCCTCACAGCCGATTCCTAGTCCCGACCCCATACTGCTTTCAGTGGCAACTACGTTTGTGAGTCCATTACTATGGTAGCAGCTACGTCTCTGTTACAGGGAAACCACACCAGCATGAGATCCCTTTAACCAATGTTATATGCCACGGTGGAGAGATTGAAAAGTGTCACCCAGCCTCACTAGAGCTCATGATACAGTGTGGAGGCAAAAGACATTCAGAAGAAAAAAGTGGGTGCCTCCTCCGAGATCTCCTGTTACGTTAATGTAATCATAATTCTTTCAATTGTCTCTGGCATTTGTCCTTTAACTTTCCATTTCTACAATCAACATTTAGGTTCTTAGTACCTCATGCCTTAAAATTGAAATCAATTCTTAGCTGGCCTCCTATTTGTGTCCCCTGTTCTCACTCCTTCAATCCACCCTACTCACTACCAAAAAATTCCTTTTGATGACCATCAGGTTATGCCTTTGCTCAAAGACTTGCTAGCGTGCTCAGTTGCCCACCAAGTGCAATACACATTCGCATCTGGCTTAAACCAGGCTGTCCAGACTCATCTTCCGACATTCCAAACACAAACCAAGTTTCATCCGAACTGAACTACTTTTCAGTTTCTGAACCTGCCTTGAGATTTTCTTCTTCACCTTTGCTGTCCCATTTCTGGAATGTTCTCCCTCATCATCTTCCCTTTGGCTCAAATTTCAGCTTTTTTTCCCCCAAAAATTCCTCTTATTAACCCATCTAGACAAGATATTTACTATGGACATGTAATTTTGTGTCACGTAAAAGTTATCACAAACTTACTTGTCCTGACTTCCCTATTAGAAAGCTCCAGATTAAAATATTCAACTGCCTGCTTGACACACATGTCTCACAGGCATTTCAAATAAAGCATGTTAAAAATAAGCAGTGACACACGCACACACGGAATGTTCCTTTCCCCAGTTTTCCTCATTTTAGAAACTGGCACCTCCACCCACCCAGCCGCATAAGCTAGAAACCTGGAAGTCATCCTCAGCTGTCCTCCCACCCACTCACCACAGCTATCTCAGTCCAAACTACCTTCATTTACTATCAATAACTGCAACTCCCAAGTGGTGTCCTTGCCTCCAATCTTGTGCCCAAATCATCTTATCACTGCAGCCAGAGTGATTTTTAAAAAAAAATACAAATCAGATCATGTGACTCCCTGCTTAAAACTCTTCAATGACTTCTTATTGCACTTAGAATAAAACCCATACTTACAATGTCCTGCCAGACCCCTACCTCCTCCTACCTTGTGTCTCATAACTCTTCATCATATCTCACTTTTCCCCTTGCTCACTGTGGTCTTCCCACTGAAATAACGTCAGTCTTACCTCAGAGCCTTTATCTGTACTGTTCCCCCCTCCCTCCCAGAATGCTCATATCTCTAGTCCTGGCATGGCTGGCTATTTCTAATCCTTCAGGTCTTAGTGTAAGTGTCAACTTCCTCAGGTCTTCACTGACAGCCTTTTTTACTCTATTACTATTTCCTGTTTTGTTTAATTCATAGCACTTCTCACAATTTGCAGTTATATGGTAGGCTGTTTGCTTTCACTCATGCAACAAGTATTTATTGGGTACCTACTACATGCTGTGTGATGTACAGTGATGAACACAGCACACATGGTCTCTGCCTTTTTCACTAGTAAGTGTGATGGGGGGAAGAGCCATACCGATCTTTGACAAGCACTGTATGCCAGAGCTTATCACAGTACCTGAAATTAGATAATAAATAATTGTTAATGAGTGAGTTAATGATGGAAGTTTTGTTCATATCTCCATCTCCCTCAAGAGCCTAAAACAAAGCCTCATCCATAGAAGGGATTGGACAAACACAGTATGAGCAAAATAGATAACAATCCTGGACTTGAAACTCTGAAAGTGAAAAACTGTGACAATAAGAAGTTCTATAGGATACAGGGGGCAATGCCCATGAGCTGGAGCGGCCTAATGTTTCTCTTTAGCTGATCTTTGATTTGGGTAATTAGAAAGGCTATTAAAGGAGAAAGGGAATATGGGTGTTCTTTACCACAGACACTCTGAATATCATAAAAAGGGAGCCTCCCTAGCATGCAATTCTAAAACCCTGAGAATTACAGAATATAATCAGGTGAAGTCTAGAGACCAGATCTTGAGAGTAAAAAGGGAAAAAAAGGTCTGAGGAGTCTTCTGTTCACCTTTTCTAAGAGCAGTGATAGTTTATTTCAAGAGAACAAAGAAGAGCTATCTGTTAGCAAAGAACAAGAATAGACCTCAAGGAAATAGTTCCCAGCACATGTTAGGAAGTCAGTACATGCTTTTTGGATGAACAGTCATCTAGCAGAGGACTAGGTTAGAGATTCTGCAGCCCCAGGAGACAGGAAGATGTGCTTGCCCATGTCCAATGATCTCAATTAAGCGGAAATAACAATTTAGAGTCAGAGGCTTAACCAGCTGCCTCCCAGTTCCCAAGGGCAATCTCCAGATAGAACGTATTTCAGAGTTGCCTACTATGAATTCAAACCTCTTTCTGTAGTCCTGTTTTGGGAGTGAGGTAGAGAGTGCTTAGGCTAAGTCAAGGTTCATGTCCCCAAAAGAATAAAACTTGTGCTGGGTGACAAAGGCATCCCTAATTCGTGACTTATCTTAGGCAGAGAGGAAGTTCAGGAAGCGTACTTTCTGAATCAAGGTGCATGGTTGGATAATAAACTAGACAATTTGAAAGAACTGACTAGATAGTCTTGGGTATATTAAAGCTTTAGTCATTGTGAGACATGAATAGCATTCACTTCCTGAGGAGGTGGTCAGACTACAGCTCCTGTATCGCTGTGCATGATAACAACTGTTAATGCACTCTAAAGTCTGCAGAAGAAAATGTATTTTGTTACTTGTCTCCATCCCCAAGCCCAAAGTTTTTTATTTGAATCACCAGAATCCCCAACCCACTTATAGATAAGAATTGTTCAAACGTTTGGGGTGCCTTCTTCATGCCAAACACATTCCATACATCTGCCTATTGAGTCCTCAGGGACAGGAAAGATGACTTTAGGCAGATGCTCAGGAAAATGTTCCCCAAAGGCCTGTTCTTCCAGATGGGCTGTGAAAACCTGTAAGGATTGGAAAGATGGAGGGGTGTGGGAGGAATTTCTAGGAGTAGGGAATAGTATAAGCATATACAAGATTGAGTTGGGGGGTGAATAAAAGTACACCTAAGAGGGTTTGAGGAAGAATGAATTATTCGATTTGGAGCATAAGGAGCAGAATGGACCAAGATCTTGGGAATGCCAGTAAGAAGGGGGCTATGCCAAATCTGCTTAACTTGGGAGCCTTTTTAGGCTGTGAATTAGGAAAGTGGCTGTTGAAATCTCTCCAGTTGTCACTGCATTTGGGAAATTCACCCCAGTTAGCTCCCTTGGACTAATTGTGGTTCTGTTCCACCCCAGATTTTCACAGATGTGTATGAAGGTCAAAAGCCATCACCACCCCTTTCCTCTGCAGCTTCTCAAGTCTGCTTTTTCTCTGGCTTCTGTTAATGAAATTCAATGAGTACAAGCCTATTCAAGGTCTTCATAGTATTCAGACTTTTGGAAAGAATCTTGAGAAGTTCTGGCCCAGGAAAGAATATCCCCTTGCTAATGTACATTCAGATATGTCATAGAAAATGTATTTTGTCATTTGTCACCATTCCCCGGAGAC